TGTCGTCTGGTCTAGTCAATCTTTCTTTCCTGGTCTGGTCGGGTCTGAATAATTGCTTGTCTGGTATGGTCTGATTAAAAATTTAAAGAAAGAAGAAAAAAAGGGTTAAGAGAATACCACCTTACCACTTTGTAGTTTTATTTGTAAATTGTAGTATTGTGGAACTTCAGTTGGACAAGTTGGCGGTTTTACTGTATACACCAACAGTTTTTGTTAACCCTCTGGTTTAATTTGTAATCTACCAACTCCACAGGATTCAGAATATAGTGTTCTGTTTATAGATTTGAAATTGTGTGAAAGTTGTGTCACTCTTTATAGTAGAAAAGAGATTGTGTTGCCATTGCTCCAAATCATATTGACAATCAATATAAATTTTACTTCCAGGTTGTCCTGAACAATGCCACATTGGAGACAGACAATCCAGATTTGCGAGATCGTGCATATATATATTGGCGCCTTCTTTCAACTGATCCTGAGGTATGAATGAACTTATATCTTTTGCTAACTGCTGATGTCTTTAATGGTTATTCATTTCAGATGATAAGATTAATGGTGCGTTGTTCATTCACTATTTCTTATTTCTCTGTTGTAGTTGTCATTAATCTTTTGGTGTAACTGAAACTTTAGATGAAAAAGCAGCCCTTATTTTCATGTTTTTATTTATCTGGTGTGTCATTGTAGTTGGGAATGTAAACGTGTTGAAATTAGGCCCTCTTTCATTACCGTTTTTTCAAAGGTTGTTGCTATATGCACTCCCATTTTGGCATAAATCAGTAAATCCACTCCATTTTTGTTAAATTGACATTTTTACCCTTAAAAAAGCAAAAGAAGAAACTTAGATGCAAGTCAACCTTTGAGGGAAAAATTGTCTATTTAACATAAAAGGAATGGATTTAGCAACACCCTTTGTCAAACTTATCTGACCATTTGACATTCAGTCTAATTATAATCACATCCCTAACTCAAAATTCAGACATGATTTTTAAAAGCGGGCTGGTATGCCTTGATCTTGCAGGCTGCAAAGGATATTGTGTTAGCTGAAAAGCCCGTGATCAGTGATGATTCGAACCAACTCGATCCTTCCCTTCTAGATGAACTTCTTGCCAATATTTCAACACTATCATCCATTTATCATAAGCCCCCAGATTCATTTGTATCTCGTATGAAGATCACTCAGAAAACCGAGGAAGAATTTGCTGATGGATCTGAGGCAGGGGAGTTGCCTGGTCACCCAGTTGACAGCGGTGCTTCAACTCCAGCTACATCAAGTAGTTCTCCCTATACTCTACCAAGGCAACAGACTATGGCACCAGCTGCATCTGCAGCTCCTACAGTTGTGCCAGATTTACTTGATCTAGGAGTAGAAAGTAACAACTCTGCTATTGTTCCTGTTGATCAACCTTCAGTTCCTGCTGCTGGGTATGCACTCTCTGGTTTAGTAAGGACTAACTGAGTAACATAAGGTTACTTCAATATGATACAAAACATACAACACTGGGTTTTTAAAATCTTGTAAAGGGCATCTTTAATAAATACTCCTAAATAAGAAACCTTTCCACTCAGGGGATTGGTATACTCACCAAAGAAATTTGGAATGACAGTTCTAATGTAATACTGATTTTGATTGCAGGCCTCCTCTGCCTGTTCTATTACCAGCAGCTACTGGTCAAGGATTACAAATCAGTGCACAAGTGATACGAAGAGATGGCCAAGTATTTTACAGCATGTTGTTTGAGAACCACTCTCAGATTTCACTTGATGGGTTCATGATTCAATTCAATAAGAATACTTTTGGTCTTGCTGCTGCTGGACCACTCCAGGTCTCAACTTATAACTTGTCATAAATAGACCCCCACCACCTTCCCCCTTTTCTCTTCCTCTCGCTTAAAGGGGAGCTTTTATTTTGGTTTTTATTTTCCACCTGTGATGTCATTTCATTTGCCCTCCCGTGTTCGACTTGAAGTTAACAAGTGTTTCCAATAGGTACCACAATTGCAATCCGGGGCATCTGCGAGCACTCTGCTGCCAATGGTGCTATTCCAGAATCTTTCTCCGGGGCCCCCAACCTCCCTTTTGCAAGTTGCCGTGAAAAACAATCAACAGCCAGTGTGGTACTTCAATGATAAGATCTCATTTCACGTATTCTTTACTGAGGATGGAAAAATGGAGCGTTCAACTTTTCTTGAGGTAACCAATGCATTGATACTTTAATATTTTTCTTATCCTATCTGATACTCCCACCGTTCCAAAATTAACCTCACATGTTGGCAGTTTAACTTTTGTGGTCAACCTTTTTAAACTTTGACCATTATTAACACATAAAACACATTGAGTAATAATTTAGCTTTAATTTCTTTATATTCAATTTCAAAGGTAGTTTTAGGATATATTAGGTTTATATAATTTGTTTATATATAATCATATATATATATTGATCATCCCAATATTGCATCTATAAGAGATACTCCCTCCATCCCATAATTATCTTCCTTCTTTCCTATTTGAGTTGTCCCAAAAAAATTCTTCCTCTTTCCTTTTAAGGAAACAAATATCTGGTCCATATTAATTATCTTTCCTTTTAAGAAAACAAATGTGGTCCATGTTAATTCTCTTTCCTCTACACAAACCACAACCAACCACATTCTACTTTACTAAAAATCGTGCCAAGTCAAACCCGGAAGATAATTTCGGGATGGAAGGAGTATGAACTATGAAGTTAATTTAGGGACGAAGGTAATACCATAATATGGAGTATCATAGCGGTAACATCATATGCACAATAGAACATATGAAGGGCTTTTCTTTTTGTTTTAAATAAAGTCAGATGCTTTGTGACTTCTGATGGTGCTTCAACAATACCCCTCCATCCCCATTGAAACTCATGTTTTGACTTCACACATTTTTTAAGAAAGCAAAAAACAGGTGGTTGAGATTCATTCAGAGGAGAGAGGAACAACATAGGGAACCACACATAAAATAAATCCTATCCTTAAACATAGAAAATAGATAATTTTGGGATAGAGAGTAGAAATATTTCATCATTTCATATCATTGTATACAAATACTTTTATCCATGGCAAGTTGGGGAGAACTGATAGACGCAAGTCTTTTCCTGTAAATGATGCAGACATGGAAGTCATTGCCCGATTCAAATGAGATTTCAAGGGACTTTCCCGGGATCGTCATAAATAGCATCGACGCCACCATTGACCATTTAGCCTCAGTCAACATGTTTTTCATCGCCAAGAGGAAACATGCCAACCAAGAAGTGTTTTACCTTTCTGCAAAGATCCCTCAAGGGACCCCTTTCTTGATTGAGCTCACAACGGTCGTCGGCGTTCCGGGTCTTAAATGCGCAATGAAGACTCCTAGCCCAGAAATGGCCCCGTGGTTATTCGAAGCCATCGAGTCTCTCCTCAAGAGCTATTAACTACGAGTATATTTCTTCATCTTTTCAATCTTTTGTTGTGGCTAATCTCCCACTTTTTTCAGTTTTATGGTCTTTCTATTTTTTTCCCATTTAATTTTCTCCTGAGCTCAACTCTTTCTGTCAGTTATTATTACTTTGAGGCCTGTGTTTACGAAAGCATAGATAGATGTCATGTGAATGTGAACTAAATGGAAAAACAAAGTATTGGTAAAGTAGAGAGTTATCCTATGGTACAATCGTATGTACATGAATATCAAATGATTTTTCCTCAGTGAAGACTCACTAGTGAAATGAATTGTTCTGTGAATGGAGTTTTGTGCTCACAAATTAGTGCTTATTATGTGTGGAATTTTTGTACATTTAAATAATTACTAATGAGAGAGTAATTGCTTACTAATTCAGAAAACAGCACAAAATTTCTTTTACATGTGGTTGTAAGATAATGTCTATGTTTACATGGCTTGTGCAAAAACTTTGATTAGCGCCTCCCTCTCCTCTCAAGAAATGAACAAGTCTATATCCTCTCACATTTATATCACATAATTGTTACGTGAGTACTAAATATTATTCTCCATCCGCTCAAAAATTATTTCTCATTCACTATTTATGTCAAACCTTTATTATCTTTGTTGACCTATTTTCATTGCCATTTGATATACTCCGTAATAATATAGTCTTGTTTCCTCTAGTTTTGTAGATCTTTTGGTGTAGTTTTTTTAATATGTAAATTTTATTTATTAATTCCATACCATTTTTCATATAAAATGATTTAAAAATAATTTCAGTCAAACATCGTAACACGTAACGGGATGATAATTTTTGGATGGATGGAGTATGAAATAAAAGTTGGGAGAGATAAAAATGTAAAAATCAATGAGATAGACATTGTTTGGTTCAAAGAATTTGAAAAGGAAAGGAAGAGAAAAGGATTAAGGGGGTGTTTGTTTTTCTGCCAGAAGACCTTCTGGCGTCTTTTGTCTGCGCCGCGCAGACGCGCACAGATGATGGGCTCTGCAGATTGTTTGTTTTTTGGAAGACATTTCACTCAAAAAGGTCTTCCTAGCATCTTCTTGGAGAAGACATTAACCAATGTCTTCTAACATCTTCTAACATCTTCTCCTTTTTTTTCTACTTCTCTTCACCACCACAACCGTCCACTGCCACCGTCCACCACTACNCCCTTCACCACCACCCTCCACCACCACCACAATCGTCCATACACCACTACCGTACACTACTATCATTAATTTATATAGCAATCTACAGACATTAAAAAACAAACAGTCTTCTTCTTGCAGACCACATACCTTCGGTCCACCACTTCTCCTGCAGATGTCTACAGTAGTGGTCCGCAGACTGCAGACCTTTTCCTGCAGAAAAAACAAACACTCCCTAAGTGTTGTTGTGTACAAAACCAGTAAGTGTAACCCATTGTTCTACTATGTAAAAGGTTTTTAAATTGTGCTCGCAATACAATCAATACATATAGGGTATAGCTAAAAGCATACAATGGAGTTCAAATGTAATCTTTCTGCACAATTTTCCTGGCAAGAAATTTCCCCAAGAAATCATAACCATGGAAGTAGAGAGCTTCAATTTCTGCCCTCTGACCACTCTCAACCATCATTGACAATTCTTCTTTGTAATTGTCCTGGATCAAACCAATTCTCTAGTCAAATGGGGTGGCTCTAGTTAATGTTTTCAATTCTCATTTTGACAATCACAATAGTTGATGGTTAATCATGGGAGAATGTGAAATCAAATATCATGTCAGCTCCTAATCTAATTCGGCTAGAATCACAGGGAGTCCGAATTCCAAAATCTTCTTTTGAAAATCGAAAACAATTGTCTCATTGAGTTTTGACCAAAATGCAAACTAAGTAGACAAAAATTGGAAGTGATTCTAAAATCAGCAAAACAATTGCACAAATGCAAACCAAATATACCACAATATTAACTAGCCAAATTCACGAGTGTCTTTGAAGTTTTTTTTTATACCTGCAAAACCTCGGACGATAGCAAGCTTTTGGCTACCTGAAGATCTCGCTGCTTCAGCGGGACTAAAGACTCTTCTGGCACTAGTTTCTCTATGTCATCCTTTCGCAACCCCAGCCATTTTACATTGCAAGCTGCTTGGTTGGAACGAAAGCAATATCAAAGCATATCCATTTGATGATATTTATGACATCAAATCTAATTATAAAGGAAAAAAAGAGGTACCATATCGAAAAGCTTCCAGGCCCATCCCTATGCTTCCATACTTGAATGTACACAGTATGGCTAGACCAGCCGGGTTCCTAAAGAGCCATTTTGAAAGAAGAAAATGAGTAGATAATGCTATCAAGGGGAAGGAGTGACAGTAAAGAAGTGATTAAGTACCAGTCCACCAAACCCAGAATTGGAATGCCAGGAAAAGTCCTACTCATCCGATGAAGGAGGAACCTGTGGCATTAAAAAAAGCTAAGTATCATCTCTTGTAAGAGAATTAAAGAATAGTCAAGGGTGTGCTAGTTAGGGCTATAACTTTAGTCAAGATTAAAGAAGAAAATCAAATGTTTCACTTAGAGGATGCATATGGGTTGCATTTCTAAGGTGATGTTTGCTGATTTTCGAATCACAAACACCCTTACTGTATATCTGGTTTGTATTTTGGCAAAAGTACGGGTAAGATTGTCGACTCTGGTTTCCAAATTGAGATTTTGGAAATAACCCTCCAATGATTACATTTAAATGAGATTGAAGCTTGATTCTAATGATTTTTAAAACCATCTGATTCTAAAATTGGAATCACCTTTTTTTTAAAATGCAAACCAAGGCCACACAGAGTTTCTTAGTTCACCTAGTGGCAATGTCTGGATATCCCTTAGCAGTTATTAGAATGCATGGGAGTTGATTGAAAACCCGATCCTCAGCGAGCCGCTGAAATATAGCATGCTGCAGATGCATGATGGGTTTATTAAATGAATTGCAGCACTCCTAGCAAAAAAAAACATCTTGAAATGTGGACAAGAAGATATACTTTTTCCACTACAATGATATATCGAGCATCTGACTTCAAAACTAATCTTCCCAACAGGCTCAGGTCCCCAGAAATGGCATAACCGGAAGATCCACAAGTAGAGCAGTCCACAAACTCTTTGTTTGGCTCCTTTTGAAAAAAGTCAAAAGATGATCCCATCTCATAATCATCTTTCAAAGTCTATCTAGGAAATATATCAAACAATACAATCAGGCTATTCCAATAGTCTGGTCAATAAACACTAGCAACGAATAAATATTTAAGTTTTCAGTCAGAGAGTAAAGAGCAATGCCTGTAGCAAAAGACGGCCAGCAACAGCTCCTCTGCTGGAAGCCATTATTCCAAGACTGAAGCGGCTACACTGAAGCAACGCTACCAAATCTAGATTTTCAAAAGCATTTCTGAATGATTTAGATGCCGCAAACAGCAGACGCACAAACAACTTACACACAAACAACTTACTCAATAGCTAATAGCTAAGTAGCTAAAACGAAACAGCCTGTTGGCCAAAGGTTCAATTCATTGTTAAAAACAAAAAGAGCAAGAATGTGAATGATTAACACCTTGGACAGTGCTGTTGACCTGCAACTGAGATTTGAAATATTCGGGAGAATCACAAAGAAGCTTGTAGAATAGCTCTCTCTGGGTAACCCTTTTCCCATCTTGACTTAGAACTTGGTAGCACATTTCCATGACCTTCCACACTTCAAAAGCAAAAGTGATACTCAAAGAACCGTAAACCACCGAAATTAGTCAAAATCTAACCTTACCTCTCACAAAAGCTCTGGCAGTATTCTCCCTCACTAACGAAAGCTTACAGAATGTATGCGAGAGAAAAATAGACGACTCGTCAGTCAAAAGGCCTCGACTAACTCTGCTATTCCTCGAATTTCTACTGATCTGTTTCATACAGTGATAAATTTCACGAAATCTTCGAAGAATAAGAAAGGCACTAAGAAATATTAACCATAAAATCCAAACAGCGAGTTGCCCTAGATCATACACGATGTAGAGAAAAAATATATAAATTCAGATTAGTTCTTCAAAGATTTGAAGCGAAAAATCATACCAGAGGAAGATCTGAGATCGAAGGAGAGCTGGAAGTTAGAGATCTCAGGAAGTTCAGGACAGCAACTTCGATTCTAGCTCGGACCTGAACAGTTTACTCCATTTCGATCCAGATCTGTAAAATATAGCCAAATACATATCGAGAGAGGAGAGGCGTGGACGGAAAACCTGCATCGGAGGGAGAATATCGGCGTAGCAGAGATGTTGATCTGAGAAGAAAACGGACGATTTTGAGAGCTCTCCCATTGTTGAAGCTTGCAAAATGAAAAATTGGCGTGTTGTCTTTCGCGCGCGAAATTGCGCCACAAGCTACCGACTACGGAGTGCCTTTTTGAAATACTACCTCCACACTTTTTTTAGTGTCATTTTTTACCATAAAATAAAAAATATGTATTTGATCTTAATGCTAATTTAATATAATTAAGTTTCTCTTAAAATATAGTTTTAGTATATGAAATTTTTTCAACATTTATTTATTTGAATTATGTTTAATTTATGATAAAAAATGTCACTGTTTGACCACAGAAATCAAAACATTAAATATTTTTCTGGATTAGTGGCTAATAATAATCCATCAAAAATCTAAACTTACATTATGTGTTTTTTTGTTTTGAAAATTTTTCTTCTCCTTCACTATTCACTAGGTTAATCTTTATTTATTTTGTTTATATATTTTCGTTACTCAATTGATAAAATTTAGTCAAACTCTATTCGCTATATTTTTATTTTATAATTCCACACAAATTTTCATATAGAATAAATTAAAGATGATTTCAATCAAACATCGTAATGCGCAACGAGAAGAACATTTGTCACAGATGAAGGACTAATTTTGCACGACTCATATACATTCAAGTTTTTTAACATTTTGAGTAAAGTATTTTTGAATTAAGATATATATAATTTTTTTAGTTTTAATTTTTTCATAAATATATGGTATATGTGTTATACTTCATGGAATTTTATTACTCCGTAATTATTAGAAATGATACCTTTTCTATAATTAAAATACAAGTTGTCATTTAAATAACGATGCATATTAATTACGGAGTAATATTGATATAAATCTTAGATTTTTAAAGAAATCTCCCTTACTAGAAATATAAAGAAATGAAGCTGCTAGATCTTAATATAAATATCAAAAATAGCTTTAAATATAATTACAATTAAATTGAATTAAACTTTTTTAAAATTAAATCTAATCAAATTAAGGGGAGCAAACAAGCTCTTGGTGAATTCCTTGTTTGTGTAATATACTTGCACCTCATTCCTTTATATGCATTTTGAAAATACGTTTTCCCCCATAATACCAACCGGAGTTGGCTACTCCGTTTTGGAGCTTATTATTTATCTAAATGGATTAGGCTAATCCGTCTCACTCATTTAATTATCAAACGAATTAGCCTAATCCGTTTGACTATTTATTTTTTAATAATTTTTTAATGCACGGAGCTTATTTGTTGCTTGTTCCAATTTATTTTTTTCTTTAAAATTTTTTAGTCATTTTAACTCCACTTTTATAAACTTTTTTAACAAATTAACTCCACTTTATGACTTACACTGTCAGGAATGGAAATTTTTTAACTCCACTTTCTGACTTACACTGAAAAAATTTTCTGACTCACACTGTCAGGAATGGATTTTTTTTTTACATATGTTGGTCGTTTGCTCAACAAGCTCTTAGTGTGCAACGACATCATCACTCCGCTACTTCTATCACTTTTTTCACATTTTATGTTCATGTAAATCCATTGTCTCCCTTACACTATTTTGGTTCAAGGAATTTGAGAGGGAAATGAAAAAAAACTAGAATAAAAACATTTTTCTTGTTTTGTTAAAAAGGAAATGAAAAAAAAAATGGAAGGAAAAGAAATTCAGAAAGCAAAATGTATTAAGAGAAATGAAAACCAAATTCCTCTCATTTTGGTGAGGAAAACGAGGAAAAACTATTTCCTTTTCTTTTCTGTCAAATTCCTTGAACAAAACACAGTCTTAAGGTTAATACGGAGTATATACTACCTCTGTCCCATAAAATTTTTCAAAGATGAAAAAGGTGCACATAAAAAATGTACAATTTTGATATTAATTTCTAATTTTGCCTTAACTTTATAATAAGATAGAATATGATCTGTTGGATAGATGAGTCACACAATTAGAAAATAGTATCAAAATAGACCATTTTTAGGCCGCGCTTTTTTCGTTTTTGAAAAGTTTTATGAGATGGAGGAAGTATTACATTCTCCTTAATTTGTTTATTGTTCACTAAACGTGAATGTCCATATATACCCTTCCAAACAATGTCAGTTCCACTTCTGATTATAACTACTCACTTCCCTTATTCCATTCTATTAAATCATCAATATAATTGCTTTCGGGTCGGTCCAGACCGAACCCGGACCGATAGGTCCAGATCGAACCCGGACCGAATTGATTTCGGGTCGGTCTTCGGTCTTATATACCCTCTCTGTCCACCATAGATCTTATCAATAGCCCTTTTTCTTTGTCCACAATAGATCTTCTCATTTCATTTTTTAACAAGTAAAATACCACAACTACCTCCACTTACTTTATTTATTACACCTTACCCACCTCATTTAATACACTCCACCCATTTTTCATTAAGGGTGTTATGGTAAACTTTCACCTTTTTTCAACTCTCCTTAAAAACCACCAAAAGTCAAAATGAGAACATCTTAGGCGGACGGAGGGAGTATTTAACATTTCGGGTTTCGGTCCGGTCCGGTCTAAACCCGATTCACAATCGGTCTGGACCGAATAGACCGAATAGCCCATTTATTTTCAATCGGTCCAAGAGTGAAGAGTCCAGTCCACTGTGCAAATCCATTTTTTAGAACCCAAATACCCATCTTAATTCCCAATAGTCAGTGACGCTGCGTCACTTACACTCTCCTTCCCAACCGAGGGAACCGCCGACGCTTCTCAACTTGGCCGACGACGGAACCGACGACGCTTCTCGGAAAGTCAGAATCACAGTCGGCCGACGAATCTCAGCTGATTCTCAGACGGGCGACGGCCGACGGCCGGCGACGATTCTCAGATTTCCTATCTCCTTTGTGTTTCAAAAGGCTTCAATCGAATCTGCGAAGGTATGATGAGTATTGAATTGTTGTAGACGATTAATCACCGTTAACTCCTCAACAGTCAGCCCTCTCTAATCTTCTTCTCCACCATCTTCTTCTCCAGATTTCCAGGTAATAGGCTTTACCTTTCAAATTCAAAACTAAAAAAAAAAAAAGAGGAACTTGGGCAGATAAACTGAATTGTAGAGGCACCTATTGATTTCAATTTCTTTTCATAGTTTGCGATTCTCAAACTGAAATGTAGACCCATCCACCTGTAGAGGCATCCCCCTGATTTCTTTTCAATTTCTTTGTACTGTTTTTTTATCCAGCAAAATAAAAAATTGAACTCAATTTTAAGCATGGATTCGGTCTTTTCGGTCTTCCCGGTTCGGTCCATGTGATTTCGGTCTGGTAAGGTCCAAAACCAAGATCATTTAGGTCCGGTCTTCGGTCTAAGTTTTGGCATATTTCAGTCTTCGGTGCGGTTCGGTTCGGTCCGGTCCAGTCCGGTTTTAGACCGATGAACACCCCTAATTTGTAATTAAACAAAAGTTACCAGAAGACTCAAATAATAGTAAAGAAGACGACAATTTAGAGATGAAGGGAGTACTAGAACACACCACTTGCATTTTCGTTGCATTATTATTATTGCTCTTATTATCATGTCACTTATTCAGTAAGGCACCACATGCATTTATTCTCTACATTAACACTCCATTCTATCTAGCTTATGAGTATGTGTGTGTATATATATATATATATATATATATATATATATATATATATATATATATATATATATATATGTTTCACATTAACGCTTACTTAAGCCATTAATTATTAATTACCATTACAACAACCCATCAGAAGAAGGATGAGAATATCATAATATTGGCCTTATTGCAAAGCTGCCACGGATCCAACAAAGGCAGCGTTCATGTACGTGGTGGGCTCCATCTGCGAGTACGACGACCGGACGTCGGTGAAGTGGTCGTTGCCGTCGGGCCCGCCCACGATCGCCCCCGTGTGGAGGTTCGGGTTCGGGCTTGGCGAGTTGAACCACACCTTCCCCGGGTCGCACTCGACCCTCTCTCGGAGTTTGTATATGGAGGGGATGGATGAGCCTCTGTGGTGAAGCTGCTTTGGGTAGCTGCTCCCAAACCCGACCATGTAGGACATCTTGTTTGGGTTGTTTCCTAGTATGTAGTCTACCTGCATGCACCATCCATGCATATATGTATATATGCTTTTTATTAGAAATTTATTTTATTCTATTAATATGAAATGTAAATTTATGTCAAAAATCATGTTTGTCTAATAATATATGATGGTGACTTAGCTTTCTCAATGAGAGGTTAGAAATTCAAATCCTCATGGAAGTAGTAACTTTATATACGGAGTATTTAATAAAATAAAAATATACTTCGTATTTAATAAAGTCAAAATATTTTTATCATCTTTTGTTTTGTAGATTGAATTGATGACTACTTTTGAACGGTGTAATTAAAATTGCACATTGCTCGGAGACAGTAAATTAAATATTGTATAATTTTAAATAATTATATATTATAGAAAGTTGATACTCCCTCCGTCCCATAAAAATAGAGACATATTGACTAAAGTCGTAAAATAAGAGAGGGATAATTTTGTGTTGATTTTCCAAAAATATCCTTGATATGATGAGTAAAAGTAGGATGTGATGTGTAGATTATTAAAAAAAAGATATGATGTGATAGGTAGAGTTTGAAAAGGTAAAGGATAAAAGTGGTTTTTTAATAGAAATGAGAGGGACTTTTGGGGACACGGTTTTTTTGAAGCGGGACACGGAGGGAGTATATCAAAACTATATTTCAAAATGAACCTAATCATACTATATTTAAAGTACAACTAAATATATACTCCCTCAGTTCCTTTAAACACTTCCTATTTTGACTTTGGGCCAAAATAAGAAATGTATAATTTTGGTTGACTTTCTCATTTTGCTCCTGATGTGAAGGGTAAAAATAAGATGTGATAGTTTGGTTATTAGTGAAAAAATATGATGTGATAGGTAGGGCATGAAAAGTATGGGTAAAAGTGGTTTTTTAATAGAAAGTGAAAGTATTTTAGAAAACTGAAAAAAAACGAAAGGGGAAGGGTTTTATGAAACGAAGGGAGTACTTTTTTATAATTTATGGTTAAAATGTTACACAACTTGACCAAAAAAATCCAACTTTTGTTAATCTTTTCTTACCGAAAGAAGTAAGCTAGAAATTAAATTTAGAAAAAAAAACCTGGGACTTGGCGAATGATTTGATTTGTGAGGATGAGAAGGTGGCGGAAGGGCAGTGAAGCCCGGCGGCAATACGATGGTTATCGAGCATCCTGGCATACATGAACAGTATCATCGTCCCACCTGCCGTGTACTGCAAGTTGCTGCTATCTCGTGTAAATAGAAGACCCCCTGCATATCCAATTATATTATTATTTGTACTTAAAATTCTTGTAAAATTAATGATCAAAGAAGTGCAAATTTTAATTTAATTTATTTGATTACAAGGATAATATATAAATAATTAAATTCCCATATTTGAAATTAGTATTTGAACAGCTCCACAAAAAGAAAAAAGAAATATTTGCATTAAATAGCACTAAAATTTAAGTCATTTCTCTAAATAGCACTTAAACTGTTTTATTCCCTAAATAGCACTTAATAATGTCCATAATGTCCAGTGATGGTGAATAATTACTTGAATAATGACTAACGCATAATGACTAAAAGTGCTACATTGGGAAGAAAAACACATGTGGTGCTATTTAGGGAAAGTCATTATGTTTTAGTGTTATTTAAGTAAATTGCTCAAAAGAAAAATGATGACACGACTTTACTACTCCTTCATTTTCTTAAAACACTTTCTTTTTCTAAACATTAGGGGCAAAATTGGAAAGTCAGTCAAAATTACATTTCCTTAATTTGGCTAAAAGTCAAAACAGAAACCTTTTAAGGGAACGGATTTAAACTATTTCTTTGTTCAGTTTGATTTTTTCGAATCAAACATGATAAAATTTGAGCTTTAGTTAAGTTAAAAACTTAAAATTGAAGCGAATTTTGGCATAAAAAGGATTTTATTAAATTTATCTTATTAAGAACTTTAATTTTGAAATTTTATTTCATTATATTACGGAGTAATATGTAACAATACAAATTGAGAGCAATTAAAACTCAAAGTTTGTCCAGTTTTACTCGAGGACAGAGGTGATAATTATGAAAAAAATAGACAAAGAAATTAAATAAATTTTGACAGTAACAAAAAGAATTATAGTGAAGAAGAAGAAGATTTAAGTAATGAATGTGTACCAGGGGTTGTGTGTATTTGAGTAGAACCACTTGCGGGCATCAAACCACAAACGAACGCCTCCGCGTCGTTCTTAAATTTTTCCAAGTTTTTATTCCCAGCGTAATATTCCTGATGATGAGATCATAATAAACTTTAAGTCCTTCCAAATATTTTGTGACCGAACCATATACTTCCTCCGTCCAACAAACATTTCTTGTTTTGATCTTTAAAAGATTTAAATGAGTGTATTTTAGTGTTGATTTTTCAAAAAATACCCATAAATGTGATAAGTAAAAGTAGATGTGATGGGTAGATTATTAGTGAAACAGTGTGATGTGACAGGTATGTTAAAAACTAGTAGAGATACAAGTAATTTTTTAATAGAAATAAGAAAGGTTTTTTTTGGAACAGACGAAAAATAGAAATTATCTTAAATAGGACTAAAACATAGAGAAAAGTATCAAAATAAAACTTTCATATTTTTTTTCCCGAAATAAGACTTCACGCTGTGATAATGTGGTTGTAATGTGGCACTGTACATGTGCACAGTACTATACTTTTTGGTAATGTACACGACCAAGTTTGGTAATGTAAATGCATTTTAAGTCTTATTTCGAGAATAAAAACATGAAGGTCCTATTTTAATATATTTTTAATGTTTTAGTCCTACTTTGATTTTTGAGATGCGCAAAAAATGAATGTGTAGATCTTTTTGGGACGGGGGAGTAATAACTAAATAAATGAGTAAAGTGCATTGTTTACCCTCGTACTCTTTAGAAATTGCATGTTTTACCCCTGAACTATAAAAATTGCACTGTTTACCCTCGAACTCCTCGAAAATTGCACGATTTACCCCTGCATACTAAAAAATGCATCAAATACTCTTGAACAAATTAAATCGTTGAATCGTTGGTCCTAAACTATTAGATAGGGAGTGCGTTGCTTCCACGCACAACAATTGCGAATATGATTCATCTGACTCTTGTGAATTTTCCAAAATACTTTTCCCCAAATTTGTCTTCTTTATTTAAATGTTCAGGCGTAAACAATACAATTTTCGAAGAGTTTAGGGATATTTGGGGAAATTTTTATTGTTCAGGGGTAAAACATGCAATTTCTGAAAAATTCAGGGGTATTTGGTGCACTTTTTAATGTTCGAGGGTAAATCATGTAATTTTCAAAGAATTCAAGGGTAAACGGTGCACTTTTCTCCTAAATAAATACATATACATACATTAGCGAGGAGGGTTTGGGCGCCAGCAAACTTGTTGTCCCAACTGAACTCCGTAACGGAGTGACTCGAATCCTGATTCTTGATGACGTAGTCCAGGTAATACCCATCCCCGCTCGCCTTGTGAAGCCACGCCGCTGCCCACACCAATTCGTCCTGCCATTTTTTCCACCGGAAAAAAAATTATACCCAAACACAAAAGAAATCAAATTACCCATCTTAAAACTGTTCCTATTTTTACTTTAGGAGTGCATATTTATTGTTGAGTTTCTAATTTTCATAAGTAGTCCTTCGTTTCTTAAAATTGTTCCTATTTTTGCTTTCATCAAAATAAGGAGTGTATATTTATGGTTGACTTTCAAAAACTGACTTATAAGTGGTGGATTAAAAGTTGAAGTGCTTATTTAACTAGCTTCTAAGGTGTGTATTCTAACTAAAAAAACAAAGATTTTGTACACCAAATTTGTTTAAAAGATAAACAAATTGTGTAGGCCTTATGTTCTTTATCGTTTAAGGGAAAAAAAGTGAAGTCTGCCTTTTTTTTGAGAAAATTTAAATAAGAAAAGTATGGATTGTTTTGTATGGAGAGGGAAATATATAATATTGTACTCCGTAGCTAGTAGTGCCAAAGACATTGTGGTTCAGTGGAATCGTTGTGGCTCTTCTATAGATTGAGAAAAAAAATATAAACAAATACTCCGTACATTATAACAGACTTATTAATAAAAAAATATTATAGCTAGTAGTCATTTAAGAAAAATCAGAAATATAATAGTTGAATTAATTAAAACTTCGTATTTTTCCTAAAAAAATAATAATTATAAATTCCTATTTTTTTAGAAATTATAAATTCGTATTAATTACAAAGGGTCCGTAATAATTACCTGAAACCCCGAGTAAGAGGTATAGAAAGGTGAAGAAAGAGAGAAAGTTCCTCTATTCTGGTCGGCAAACGCGAATAGCTGAAGAAATTCAACCACATAAAAATCTGTTAAATAATAATAATAATAATAATAATAATAATAATAATAATAATAATAATTCACTCAAATAATAACAATAATAATAATGATACTAATAATAATAATAATAATAATAATAATAATAATAATAATAATAATAATAATAATAATAATAATACTCCTTTATAATGATAAAATGAACCCTATCTCTTAGGATCCTTTTAGTACCCGTCCGAAAAGACACACATACCTTTAAAGATATCACTTTTTCCTAAATAAGCTAGTCTTATCTACTACTACCTCCGTCCCACAAAAAAGTTCCCATTTTGACTATAATTTGGTCAAACTATAGCACACTTTGACTTTAAATTAAATATAATCTAAATAAAGAAATGCTAAAAAAATTTGAGATATCAAAACTAGATCCTAAGATGAATCCAATTATATAAAATTTATTTCATAATTCAATATATTTTTCTCACAATTTGTAGTCAAAGCGTGTAAATGTTTGACTAAATACTATTCAAAATGAGAACTTTTTTGTGGGACGAAGGGAGTATAACATTTGACAATGGAAAGTTCTAAAATGTCATGTCTTTGAGAAAAAAATAGCCAATTGCACAATTGATATACATTTGAATACAATTATTAAATACAATATGAATAATCTTTGAAATAATCATTCATTATCCAACATTTGTTGCTAATGACCAGATTTGTAGAGTCATTCGTATAATCAGTCATTATTCAATACTTGTAGCTAATGAGGATATATATATATATGCCAGATCATTACGAATTATATGTCAGAAAGAGAATAAAATATTTTTGGTCTTATTCAGGGAAACACACTACTTTTTAGTCTTATATGAAACAAATTTGTCTTCTGAGGCCATGGTTTTTTTAATTTTTAATTTTCCTTTCAAACAATGCTCATTCGAATCGAATGTGTGTGCATGGAAAATAATGATCAAAATAAGTATAGCTAATTTTTTTTTAAAAAAATCCTATTTGTAAACTTATTTTTGTTGCAAAGGAAAAGGTCACACATACAAACAACCAAAATCAAACTTCAAAAAGAAAAACTGATTGTTTTTTCATAAGTAGTATTTTGCTAAACCAATTTAATTAGACTAAAAAATTAGTTCAAGTTTTAATTAAAATGTGAAAGGAAATAAAACTTAGAGGAGAGAATATTATACTCCGTAGTAAAGAAATAAAAATTATTACTTCAAGTTTTATATCAGAATGCTATCACTATATACTGATATAAATTTAATTTTTTTGTTTGGTTAGAATAGAAAAATGAAAGAAAATAAAAGCCAGAGAATAGAATAAACTAAATAAATGGAAAACAACTAATAACTCTCCTTCCATATATTTTTGACAAGAAAAAGGGAAAAAATCTTCTTTCTTTCTTCATAAAAACGTGTATGTTTATTATACATGCACATTGCGTGGAAATTTGCATGAGAATTGGAATGATTATTACAATGACATATTCGGTTACCAATTTAGGAATTTTCTCGTTGCACTGTTTTCTTTAAATGGAAAGTGTATTATTGTGGGATCAAAAGTGAGTATGGGTCTTCAAAATGAGGCAAAAGAGATCATCACTTCTATCTTGTGAGACGAGATTTTAGCACTTACCAATTTTGAGTGTTGTAACAGTTTGGTCGAGTACTTGGGATTTGACTTCTGGAACACGACCGACGCGGCGGCGAGGGCGGCAGCCGCCTCGGCCGCCAGCTCAGTCCCCGGGGAAGAGGGAGTGATCTTGTAAAGCGTCCGTGGAGTGTCCATGCCCTCTGGACGCTCCCAACAGTTGTGATCGGCAGTTCCTTCCCCGACCTGTACGTATATATAGTACCATTTCAATACACGAGTAATGATAATTAATTACTCCCTTCTTCCCAAAACACTATTCCAACTTCACGAGAATTTATATTTATTTGTGTTTTTTCATGGCCTATATGATAAAATAAAATATTCTTGTCACCACTTGTTTTGTTGAACTTTTGGTGTAGTTTTTAAATATGTATGTTTTATTTTTTATTTCTATACCAATATTTAAATAAAATAGATTGAAAAAAATTTGGGATTTTTCTTCGTTTTGCGAACCGGGAAGATCATTATAGGACGGAGGGAGTATTTACTATAGGTTCAATTAAAAGTGAAAAAAGGAACTATAGTCTAGGGTTTTCATAAACTACGCATGAAAAGAGGTAATTTGAACTTTAATAGAGTGATAATTAATATAGAGTGAGTCGAATTGGGTGATGACATCTCTTTTGACCAATTAAACGATATTTGATCCTAATTATATTAAGGGGCTGTTTGTTTCAGCCTCTTAATGATTCAGATGTCTGAATGGTTCAACGCTTAATGGTTCACATTGTTTGTTTCGTGAGCAGATGTCCGAATGGTTCAGACATTTGCCTCTGAATGGTTAAGTATTATACAGAGTCTGAATGGTTAAGACCTCTTATCTGAATTGATCAGACATTTGCCTCTAAATAGTTAAGCGGGCAATATACTAGATCTTAATGGTTCAGACCTTTTACAAGTTCAGCACTTAATGATTCAAAGCTCTTATTGGTTCAGCACTTACCTATTCAGAAGTTGCCAAACAGCCCTAAGTATAGAAAAGAAGGGGATGGTAGAGAGGTAGGGTACCTGGGCGTAGAAGGCGAGGGTGGAGCCCTTGGAGGTGACGTGGGCGTTGATTAGGAAGTTGGAGCCCCACTGAATGGCCTCCCTGAGGTGCCTCATCTCTCCCGCCAAAACAATATTCCCCTCGTACTCAATTGCGCTCCAACTCAGCAGCCCCACCGAAAACGCCATCGTCCATGTAAACTTCACGTTGTCCCCCGCGTCGTAGTACCCTCCGCTCAATTTCACCTGTTACTTTTACCTTTTATTTATTTTATTCATGCATTCACATACTTTTCACTGGTAAATACTCTTTTCGTCTCTAAGTATTTGTCTATTTTTTACCTTTTTCGGTTAAAATTAGCAAAGTTCGATCACAAATTAAATAAAATCCATATTAGATATTGATAAAAAACATAATTTTAATTTATTAGATTCATTTTTTTATGATATTTTTAAAATATTATTGTATCTAATTAATATATAAAATATATTTCATTTAATTATAGGTCAAAGCATGAAACTATATTTGATTGTAAAAAATCAATGCAAAACTAGACAAATACTCACGGATATAGGTAGTATAAATTATAAATAACTCAGACACAAAAGTTCATGTTTGAAATTTGTCAAATTGTTTGCATTGTTTTCATATTTCCACTGATTAATTGATGAAATATATTCCATCTGTCCTAAAACTTTTTTCTTTTTTTTCTTGTCCCACAAAATTCTTTCCTTTTATATTAAAAACCACTTTTACCCCATTTTTAAATCTACCTATCACATCATATATTTTTCCTAATAATCTATCCATCACATCAAAGGTATTTTTGGAAAGTCAACACAAGAATATTTCTCTCTTAAATTTTCTAAAAGTCAAAATGGGAACATCTGTATAGGACGTAGGAAGTATATTCTTGTCATCTTTTGTCTTGTTGAATTTTTTAATGTGATTTTTAAATAATGTATACTACATAATTTGTACTTTTTATTTCTATACGAATTGTAAACAAACAAATTTAAAACATATGGAGTACAAGATTTAGCAAAGTGTTGGAGGTGAGACGATAATTTTGGGACGAATAGAGTATAATAGAAATTGGTTTTTTGCTAAATATAGTTGAAATAACTAAAATAACTGAATGAGCTAAATTCGCTGGTCGACGTTATTGACCTACCATCATTATGCTGTAAGAATCTAGTCAAAACAATGCTCAATATAATGTACTCCGGCCACACCATATTTTTCAAGTTTTATTTTTGACAACTAACATATTATATTAAACATTAAATAGAAAACCAAAGCAGTTTTAAAATATTTTTTAGTACAATAAGCACTGTTTTATTGTTAGGGTATGTTTGGTTGGAAGGGAGGAGAGGGGAAAGAATGGATGGAAGGGAATGGAAAAGGAAGGGAAGGATTCCCTTCACCTTGTTTGGTTTGGAGGGGAAGGAAATGTTTATTTTTAATTTTCTATTACTCCGTAATAGTTTTCATTTTTAAAACTATTTTTTTATCTATTTTAAAAAAATTATTATCAGTATTTTTGATTTTATTCTTTCATTTTTTTATTATTTTAATTTTTTATTACTATTTTTATCATTTCTCCTACATTTTAATTTTTTTATTTTCTTATGTAATTTATTTTTTTAAATTTAATTAAGTGTGTGTGTCTATATTATTTTATTTATTATTTATCACTACAATTTTCCATTATGAATTGATTGATTTATTTTATTATTATAATTATTTATTATTATTATTATTATTATTATTATTATTATTATCAATTTTAAAATTTTTATTTATAATTTTTTTTATTTATGTTATTATTTTTATTATGGGTTTTTATTTTATGATAATAATATTTTTAGTTTTTTATTCTTATTTTTTATATCTACTTGTTTAGTATTATTAATATTTTAATTATTCTTTATATTTTATTCATTTATTTTATTACTATTCAATTTTTGTTATTAATAATTTTTTTTGTTATTTTAAAATGATTTAATTTATTTTTATTTATTTATTTATTTTAATTTTATTTTATTATATATTACTCCATGTTTTTTATTGACAAGGCGGAAAAATTGACGTAAGAAGAAGAGAAAGACAAGGGTAAAGGAGATTCCGTCTGATTTGGAAGGATTGATTTGGAAGGGAAGGGGAGGGAATTGAAGCTAAAATTTTGGGTCTCCTCCCCTCCACGTTTTTAAACCAAACAAGAGGAGGGATTCTGATTCCTTCCCTTCCCCTCCCCTTCCCTCCAACCAAACAGACCCTTAAAGAATATAACAAAATACTCCATATAATACAACATTTCTAACCTTCACTAAAATATTTCAACTAACAATGATGTTTAGGCTTTGTTTTGGAACAACATTTACGATTAGCATTAGCGTGCTAGATAAAAATTTAATGGAGTATATTAATTCTGAAAAAACTAATGTTAACATTTTATATGCTCTTTTCAAAATGTTAATGTTAAACTCTAACGTTTTTGTCAAATGGAACCTCAATAATAATAATAATAATAATAATAAATAGTAATAATAATAATAATAATAATAATAATAATAAGGACAATAACAACAACAACAACAAAAATAATAACAATAATGTTATGATAATAGTAATAATAATAATAATAATAATAATAATAATAATAATAATAATAATAATAATAATAATAATAATAATAATAATAATAATAAAATGTTATAAGGAGTACTATATCAAAACTATACGTCTATAGCTCTATACCATATAAAGTGTACCTAGTATATGGTTAGATTCCCTATAAAATGTTTTTGTTAAGAGGTCAAAAACTTCCTATTCCGTCCCTCTCCAAATAAATGAGGAGGTGGAAGTTACGAGGTAAAATATAAATTTTTATATTAAAAAAATTAGAAAAAAATAAAAAGAGAGTGCATGATTTTAGTATACAGAGGAAATATAAATTTTTATATTAAAAAAAAATAAAATTAAAACAAAAAGAGAGAGTGCATGATTTTTTTAAATTGAGATTGCATGCATTATTAAGTCATTTTCTCAAATTAGGAATGAACATATACAAATTTAAAAAAATTATGATGATACTGAAATAGTATAAATATGGATTCGTTTGGAATAGCGTTTTCGATTAGCGCTAGCGTTTTGGGTAAAAATTTTGGGCCTATTTGGGAATAGCTTTAGCGATTAGCTTTAGCGTTTTGAAAATGCTATCTACGGACAACGTTTAGCGTTAGCGTTTTCAAAGTAATCTGCACCGTTAAAATTTTATCCAAAACGCTAACGCTAATCTCTAACGCTATTCCCAAACAGGCTCTTTACAATGCATATTAACTTTGAAACGCTAACGTTGTCATAGATAGCCTTTCCAAAATGCTAAAGCTAACTTATCAAGCATTGTTCCCAAACAGACCCTATATGTGATTTACCAAAAGGCAAATTGTTACTATTAAAGAGAGAGGAATTATATGCTTCATATATATACAACCACCGCACCTTTTCAGGCTTCCCGTCGTCGAGGGCGGAGTCGCCCCTCCACTTCACCCGCTGCGAAGAAGGCAACTTCCCGGCGCGTTGCCCTTCGAAGAACAATATGGCTTTGCTTAGGGCATCTTTGTAGTCAAACGACGCCGCGCCGTTATTATTATTATTGGCATAAAATATCTCACTTCCGTTGGCTGCCGCCGGCGAACTCCGGCCGGCAGCCGAGCTCGAGAAGAGGATAAAAATGGCCAAAATCATGGGTAGGGGACGAGAATCCATTTTGTACACGTGATGGATGAGAATATGATATGATTCTATATAGGTTTAAGACTGGAGGAGGTATATATATAGAACGTAAATATGTCCAAAAATAACATGTGTGATTTATTAGGTTAAAAAAAGAAGACGTGCATGTAGGGTGATAATTTTGAAAATTGTTTTAGAGTATGAATAACTATTTACCTGCCTCGTTTGGTACGTTATTATGTGCATATGGAAACAATGGGCTCTTTTTTGGGGTGTAAAATGTAAATAAACAGTCTCTCCCGCTTTGTTAGGAATACTATGCTAGAATATTAAAAGAAATATTTGTACTAAATAGCAATAAAATTTAAATCATTTTCCTAGTAGTACTCCCTCCGTTCTTAAAAAATACTTCCTCTTTCATTTTTTTCACTTCCAACAAAACACTTCCACTTTCTTTTAAAAAATCACTTTTACCCTTACTTTTTCGTACCCTATCTATCACATCATACTTTATCTCTAATAATTTATCACTTTTACCTATCACATCAAAGGCAAAATTGGAAGTCAACTACAATTTAATACTTCCTTATTTTTACACAAAGTCAAAAGAGGAACACTTTTTCTAAACGGAGGGAGTATTAAAATTGTTTATTCCCTAAATTGTACATAATATTGTTCATAATGTCCAAATTAAAGATTATCCCATATGGACTTCTGGCCAGATCCACTGGTGGTTCTTTTCTTGTGCCTTTTGGAGGTACTCCTTGCCCTGCTCTCCACTCTCAATCATCTTCCGGACAACTCCTTTAACACTTTTGCATTCTAAAGGGTTATGGGAATCGGATTTATGGTACGAACAAGTTACCTGTAGGATTGACCGGTGCATGCCTTCCTTAATTCATGGCGTTCCTCTGTTTTGAACGTATGGATGGACGGGTCATAATGATGCCTTGGCTTGCTGGGACCCAGCGCATCCTCCTTCTTAACTTGTACCGGCTTGGGTTTGAAACTGTGTTAAGCTTCCTTCTTCGCCCGAACATGGGTTTCGGCCTCAGCAAACTCCCATGCTGTATGGTAGGCCTCCTGATATGTGGTCGATGGTTTCCTACAAAACTCTTTGTATAATTCCCCGACACGCAGCCCATTATTCAACAGGAAAGACAAGACTGTCTTGTCGTCCATTTCTTCAACCTTGTCCACCTTCTATTTCCACCGGGTAAGAAACTGAGTGAGGTTCTCAGATTCCCTCTGACTAGCTATTATAAGCTAGGTAAACTTCTTCCTCTTCGTACAGTTTTCTTGGAAATTGGCCTTGAATTTTGAGGCTAATTCTGTGAATGAGTCAATGCTTTATGGACGGAGTTTATTGAAACATTCCGTGGCCCCATTTCGCAAGGTTTGGAAGAAGAGGAGGATCTTTTCCTCATCTGTGCACCCCATCATGGTTGCACTCTGGTTGAGTGAATCTCGAGATCCTCCTTTTCGGTGAATCTTGGCGCATCCACCTTGACCTTTCGTGGGAAAGGCGTCAAGTGGACCCTTGCGGTGAACGGAAAATCAGCAAGGGGTTCCTCCTTGTCATTCTTCTCCTCCACTCTTCTTTACAGTCTTTCCAATTTCGCCTCCATTTGTTAGACATGATCTCTCGGGTGCGCTAACCTATGCCTTACCGGCTCGCGGGGTTGGCTTTCAGCTTCTTCTTCCTAGCGCGAAACCCGTGACTTTGTAGGTTCCTACCGGTTTGACCGGGTGTGTTGGGTACGGGCAGGCACGACCTCCCTCCCTTTGCCTAACCAGGCAAAAGCGCTAACATGGGCCACGCTTTAATTTGCCCCAATCTCATCTTGGTTGATTTCCTTTGGCCTTCCTCCCTCTCCCTCTGCCTTTTGAAGGCGGAGTCACGGGAGGTTGCCGGCCTTTGAGTCTTACCCTTCTTCTTCGTGTGGGCTCTCGGAATGTCCCACTCACTGTCATCACTCTCAATAGAGACACAATGACCATCAAAGGTGCTCTGTGGATGGCGTGCACTCTGAGGAGGGCGTGATGGACCGGTGACGTTGAGTGCACCGGTCAAATTGATAGGGCCACAATATTGACCACCTGCGGCTAGAAAGATGATGACTGGGGAACCGGTGTCTGGAAAGGAGACACCCCATCGGGGTTTACAATGGCAGTGTTCCTTTGCCTGGAAGGGCAAACGTCAAAATGCCCGGGAGGAATGGCATCCCTCCATTCTGTTGACACATGGCCATGACCTGGCCAAAGGCTTGGATGGCATGAAACTTAGTCGGGTCATTCAGAAACTAGGTCATGCTTTGCGGAAACGTGACCCTTGGCCCGGTAGAAGGGGGGACTATGAATGGCACAGCCATGCTTGGCGTAGGGATGGGGCTCAAACCCATCGGCAGCACGGATGCTGAGGTAGGCGGTTGGGAAATTACCATGGGGATGGTCACTCCCTCAGTGGTGGCTTGCACGAGGGCAGAAGTAGCGTTGTTCAGCTCGCTTGAAGGCATTTTCTATGGTGTTTTTGTGAGTAGATTTGAGTTTAGATGAGAAAAGAAACCTTAGTGGTCCCACAGGTGGCACCAAAAATGATGGTGTAAATTACCTAACCAGGTAAACAATACTAGACCAGGTCTAGGATTGTTTACTAGATTCGGGAAAGTAAAAGGTAAAAACACACAAATTAACCAGGAGGACTGTAGGTGGAAACACCTGTAGTCCAATTAGTATTTGAATATAGTAAAGTGTGCGGGAGCTTTTACACGGGAGTTTTAGTGAGAAGAAATCGGATCCCCTTCTTTGAGGGTTACAACGGTATTTATATTAAGCTAGAGGAGAGACAAAGCGACACACATCCACGTCAGGGCATGTTCTTGGGTGGTGCGAGGTGATTGCCTCTGTCTTCTAGTGACCTTGTCATTTAGTTAAGAAGGTGACTCCTTTGTCACCTAGTGCGTTGGATTGATTGTCCGAATTTCTCCAATGATCTTGCGTTAAATTTAGCCGCTACAATATAATCCAATTCCCTTTGGATTCTTCCATGCCGACAATCTCCAACCCTAGAAACCATACCGGGTGATTTCTGAAGGATGGGTTTACTGAAATGGGGGACGAATGAGGGAATAAAGTAGTTTGCCCGGTAGTCTTTCCGAAGCGTACCGGTCAAACCTTTGGTCAACCAATCACCTTTTTACTGTTGTTTTAGGCATCCCATTCCGAAAAATCAACCTTGACCGCTTGGATATTTGAGTACTCTTACTTGACCGGTTCTGGGTGTAATACACTCATCAAATAGTATAAAGAATAAATCTACTTATACTCCAAAGATTGTATTTCAATATGTACTTCAAAGGTTTAAGATTAAAGATTGAAGTCGAGTAAAATATTGAAAATATATCAAAATAAAAGTTTCATGATTTTATTTTCAAAATAAGATTTAAAATGCATAGGCATTGCTAATCATGACCATATACATTTTGTGATCACTCTAATATTTTGTATTAATGTAAGCCAGCAAAATGTAAGTACGGAGTATAAATTTTTGGAATATATTTTAGAGTACACCTACAATGGTTTTGCACTATTGTCTTCTCGAATTGCATCTATTACACATCCCAAAATAAATATCTTGTTTTTTAATTATTTAGAGGTGAGAAATGCTTTACTCATAAATAAAATGATCACAATTCTTCTAAACTTACTATTTGTTAGCTTCAATAAAATTAAAATAATACGTAGTGTATTTTTATCTCTAAAATATAAGAATTCTACAATATTTTTTAGTATTATATGCTAGCTTTATTTCCATGTAGAACACTCCCCCGTCACTGAAAACACAGGAGATTTTAATTTTTATGGTAATTAAGGGGGATGTATTTTGGTATTGAGTTTTAAATATCATTGATTGTGATGGGTAAAAGTAGAAATTGATGAGTAATTAATAATGAATAGATGTGATGTTATAGTTAGTTTAAGATTTAGTAAGGATAAAAGTGACTTTTAAATTAAAATTAAAAAAGTTTTTTTAGGACGGATGAAAAAATATCAGGAGAGAATAAATCTTATTTTATGGATCAAAATATGAAAGTCGTGTTTTGTTCTCTTTGTTATGTTGTGGACCTATTTCACTCATTTTCCCATAAATGTAACCTTTTATTTCAAGAAAGAAATGTGTAGCCAACTCTATATCTCTCATCTACATAAATTGAAATCATATAATTTTATTTATTTTTAACTCCGATAATCAAATCCAAAAAGTTTATGTTGGGACAAAAGGGTTTTCAGTAAACACACGGAAGAGTGGATTTTTTGGGGAGAAATGTCATTTTCAGTTTTACCCAAAATTGACATAGATGCGACATGGGCGATTTCTTGTGGGAAGAAATGTCATTTTCACTTTACTCGAAATGACAATAGTGCGTGCCGTTCTTGCGGTGAAAATATACTCCTTTGCCAAATTAAATTATCTACCATTATTTCAATTTTATTTGATCTTTCAAAAATAATTCTATAATTTATTGTGTTGTATAATAATTTTAATTTTACGGAAATTTGTGAATTTTGGATTATCGTTAAGGTGCTAGCAACTTGTTAACGGAGGTGACTTGCTTTACCAAACAAAATGAAAAATTGGAACAATTATTTTAAATAAACTTTCGTTTTTAACTCCTTTTTTTTAATTTTCCCCTAAATTTTTATAAGACTTTCTACCTCCATCACTTTTTAAGATTAATCTTACCTCAGAAAAAAATAAAAAAAATTAGATATAAAAGTATTGAAAATGAAAAAAATATTTAAAGCCGTACAAACTTAATGAAATAAAAAGATCATCAATATCAACTAACCTCAATTTGATAAGAATAAAACTAAAAATATACGGAGCGGTGGGTTCTAATGTTTTAGGCACTACACGGGGCATTAATGTATTACTTCCTCTCGTTACTTCCATTTTGAATAGTATTTAGTCAAATATTTACACGCTTTGACTACAAATTGTGAGAAAAGTATATTGAATTATGAAATAAATTTTATATAATTGGATTCATCTTAGGATCTAGTTTTGATATCTCAATTTTTTTTAGCATTTCTTTATTTAGATTATATTTAATTTAAGGTCAAAGTGTGCAACAGTTTGACCAATTTATGGTCAAAATGGGAACTTTTTTATGGGACGGAGGGAGTAAAAAATTAAAAAAACAAGAAATAAGTAATTATTTTCTTACTAAATTCCTAAAAAATGGAAATAAAAATAAAAAAGAAATAAAATATTTTTCTTACTTCAATGTAATTTTATTTTAGTTACTCCGTATTTCTTAATAAGAAAAATATTTTTTTATTTCTTTATGGTTTTAATAAGAAAATAATTTTTTATTTTCTTATTTTTTTTACTAACGGGATGAAGTAATACATTAATACTCCATATAGTGCCTAAAAGTTAGAACCCCCATTCCATATACTTCTAGTTTTTTATGTTAGTTTTTATTAAATTCTTTTTATTTCATTAATTTTGTATGCTTTTAGTCATTTTTCCCATTTCAATAAATTTTTATATTTTTTTTATTTTTTCCTGATGTAAGATTAATCTTTTAAAAAATTAATCTTACATGATGTTCCTTGTGGCCATGCGGGGACGTGGCAATGCCATGGCAGAATATAGTCACACTCATTTGAAACGAATAGTGAAACTAAGCGATTACGTACCTTTCAATTCGAGTCCGTCGCTACCTGGATCAATCAGTGTATTTGTGAATCATGGTGTGGAAAATCTAGTTCATGCTTTTTGCCTTGTGTAAGGATGTCGCTAAAGATTCATTTTACATAGTGAAACTCATTCCGTTGAACATAATTTAATTCATTTGAAAGACGTATAAAGTAAGTCATCAACCAAAGGAAGAAGTACAAATTCACTCGACCAAAGGGAGAGGGAAAGAAAATTCCTCAATCTCATGAGTAGGGCCCGATCTTTTAGGAACCTCGTATTCCTTAGATTCACATAGTAAAACTCATTTTGTACATGAGTTGCCATTGATTGATCGACTCATCTGTAGCTTCGGCCAAGACCAAGGCTTCATCCATGCGCTTAGTGAAAGATAAGTAGTCGATTCTATTACCAAACTATTCCCGCACGATTCTTTTTCAATCCACCAGCCCTGAGGGTTGGTAAGGGCACCAATATTCGCTGAATTGAATTGAGTGCACCCTCTCCTCTCTCCTTCGGTCAAGTCACTTCGTACCTCTCTCGAATGAGTTGATCACGCAGGGACGTGGCAATGCCACGGCGGGCCACAGGAATAGGGGTGTGGGGCATTACGGGTAGTCTAATGGGAAGATATCTCAAAAAGGGAAGAAACCGTTCAGCTCAAAAGATATATGTTCCTCCACAACACATGCATCTGGGCCCACACACATCATAATCCAGCACAACGTATTAAACTTTTATGCATATGGGCATAATTATAATCCCTACAAGTTCAAAGCCACAAGGAAAATATCCTGTATACATTTTAGTTTGATGTGGGAACACACGCTTTCACTGATGTTAAAAAGAACCCATGGTATTTTCTATAAGAGTAAATGTTTAAATAAAAAATAATAACACATCACTATATTACCAATTCCATGCAAGTGCAAAGTCAGTCCATGGAGAAGCTAAGATACATGCAAGGATCTTGAAGGAAGGAAGCATGAACCATCCACATACCAAAATAGTACACCAGATCAGGTTAATTACCTTATGGTTACATTTTCTCTCCATATTTAGCTTCTCCTTTTGAGTTTGATGTGCATGAAAACCATTTCAGCTCGGAAGCAACAGACGTCTCCAAAGTTGTCTCCCCAAATATTATACACCATAACGCTTCAGCGCCTTACTTAGACCGGGCATTACATCATACGCTTGATACGATCTTCTGAGTTCAATGATTGATCCAACCTGAAAAGGAAATGATTATCACAATAGATTCCGGTGAGACAACAGTATTAGTAAGTCTAGTTAGAGTGAAGAGGTAAAAAAAACATGTATAGTTTGCAGTAAAAAAAGAAGGTATCTTCATCCTGAAGTTGTATTACAGTGACGATCATTTCAAAATGCGCAACTCTTATGATGAAAGATAAGTGATATGGGTTGGGAGTGTTAGGTAATGAGTATGAATTTACCTGTATGTCCCCCTTTTACATTGTTTTTTACTTTTTACTGTACAGAGCATGGTGGTAAATTCATACCCATTGCCTCACTGTTTTTTGCCCGTCATTACTCAACAAAGCAACCTTTGTTGGAGCACGCAATTTGTTAAAGATCCATAACAAAATTAATTCTATGAAAACAACCCCCCGTGAACTGAACTGAATACTGGAATCTGGAATTTAAGTATCCAGTAACTCTTATATGCCATGATTTATTATAAGAAAATATGCCCTAATATCATGCCACATCTGTGTTCAAGCTGGTATATATGCTATATATGTATGTCAGATCCTTTTTAAAAAAATTATCCACCCACTTACTTGAGATAGGTTTACAATGTCCAAAGGCTTTTCAAGAAACATGAAAAGGAAGGAAAGAGTCAATGAAACTTACAATTATTAGAACTGATGTAAATCCTATTGAAAACCCATTGTTTACTCTCCGTAAATAATGGTCAAGAATGGTAGATGTAGTAGCCAATATACTTAGCATGACACCACCTGCAGAGCATTTACCATAGTTAATCCAAAAAGGAAACACGGGTGGGTGAGGATATATAAAACATTTCAACCATATAGATACCCCATAACCGTGTGGATGCTTGGATTTTTGTCAAGTATTCAACTGTGGCTCTTCCGGGCTTAATATTGGGAACTCTAGCACCAATCTTGTTTAGGTAATCAGATATTTCCTTTGGCATGTTGGCCTGAAAGTTTACAGTCACAATTCAGTTTTTTAAATTGTTGATCACACTATGAGGTGAGATACCATCCGACATACCACAAAAGTATGCAATAAGAGTATGGAGTGCATTGTTGAATTGATTTAATATCATCTAAATAAACCAAGCATGAAGAAAATGATCCATGAAAGCAATCTGATCTTTTAACTTGAAAGTAGTAATTCATAAAGAGCAGCTTACTATGTCAAATATGTTGAGCAGAAAGACAAAGAACGCGTATAATGTGTAGTAAACCCATGGCTCTGCTCCACGAGAAGTTTCAGGATTTAAAGCATCACTCACATGCTTCCAAAACCGTGAACCAAGGATGCTGCCAAAAAAATGTGAACAAAATCATGCCATAAATCTGGAATGTCCATTGTTTGCTAGATACACACAAATATGCAACGCTTGTGAAAAGCACGCCTCGTCAAAAAATATAGGTTTTGATAAATTAATAAAGTTGATGGTAAAGAGAATAGAGGATAACCTTGCAAGGATTGAAGGGAAGGCAAAGAGATAAGAGGTAGCAAGAATAGGTTGCATCCCAGCTGGATTTATATTGAATGGTATGTAAGGCTCAACGTCAGAATCTCCTGGAATTTGACTGTGACAAGGCAGGAAAGTCACCATAAATTTCTATGATGATTGATGACCAATAAAAACAAAATAGAAAGTATTCCATTTATTATATCTTTCAAGAAATATGTAATATAAATTTAAAACCAACTTGGATCCAATCACCTATAGTATCTAATAAAAATCCAAAAGCATCCAACCTATGAAGTCTGTAGCTAATGAAGCAGGAATCAGAAGTGTGGACAGCTACGTTGGTTAGAACTAGCTGATGCTGGGCCTAATACTCTAGGTTAGAAATAACCTTCTTTTCTGTCAGTTTTATGTTATATGTGCAAAATGTACCTGACTACTTTTATATGATTAGCAAATACTCAACTCTCATCTTCATTATCTCTGTCTCCTGAATCTCCTTTCTTCCTCTTTTCAATCTTCAATTGCTCTTGTCAGGTTGAAAATTCCCTCACTGATAGGCCCAGATTATAAGTAATTACAGCATTTTAAAAACTAGCTATTCTTACTGCCCAAGGAATTATGACGAAAAACTGCATGTAACCTTGTGTTTCACACAATCTTCTCTTCAAACCACTAATATTTTTCTCTTATGTGGATTATTCAAATTAATAAAGCATTAAAATAGAGAGAGAGAAGATGGTAGACAATTGAAGAAATTGGATTAGATGCTAGGGAGTATGGAATGACTGTGTGAAACTCTTCTGCCACACCTCCAGAACACTGTGACCACAACACCATGTACAATCTTCTTTTTCATCATCTCTTTTTTCTGCATCATCTTTTCCTTAGCTTTTCTTCAATTTTTTCCTATGTTATGCCCACCTCATTCTGGTTTTTTTTTCTTCTTTATTTTCAGTTATTTCATTCTCCACTTTCTCTCAAACTCTTAATATTTATTGGCACTGACAATGTCAGGTAAGGGACTAAGGGTAAGGTCTGCAAACATTCACGACCCCAAACCCCATATATGGGATTTTACTGCATTGGCTGTTGTTGTAACAGTCAGAACCTTTTTTTATCTACTTTCCTACTTACGCTTTTTTTTCACTTTTTTTATGTTCTTTAATACTTGTGGGCCATGTTATCAACTCGTGACTGCCATCCGTAGTTTTAAAAACCGGACTGACCGGCCGGTTTGGGCCGTGAACCGGTGAACTGGTGGTCGAACCGGTCCGGTACAGCCCTTTGGACCACAATCAACTTCAAACCAGTCCGAACCGGTGTGAACCAGAAATAACCGGCCAGTCAAACCAGTCGGACCTGTTTTTTTTTTTTTTTTTTGCAATTTTTGTAATATTAGACAACTTATTTGAAAAAATAAAATCAACTCTTCCTTTATAAAATTTTTAATATTGTTTTTTAAATATGTAAATTTTATTTTTTTAACTCTCTCTCTCTCTCTCTCCCTCCTATATGTGTGTCGGAGAAGTATAGAATATGCTTCCCCCCTTCCCCTCCATCTTCTTTGAGTTCTTTCTACTAAAAAAAAAGGAGATGAAGGCCGTGAAGATATTTATGTTATAATTACACTTGTAACTTGAAAGTTTAACTTTTATTTATTTGGCACATCGGACAGAAATGTTTAATTATTACCAGTGACTTATATTCGTATAGTGTGTGTGGACGAGTTTTTGTCAGATACATCTTATAGTAATTTAATAATGTGTGACGTCCTGGAACTTAAAAACGACAATAGCTTTTCCATACAGATATTGGCAACTTAATAAATTGTAGATGCCATCAGACCATTGAATATCATTGACCCAATACATAAGGCCATCTAGCTGTTGGAAGGCAATTGTGTGTGCTATCATGTTTCGTTATGCCTGTCTCATATTTTAAAAGTATCATATCCCATACCCGTAACACACTTCACACCTTAAAAAGACTTCAAGTACTCCCTGTCCCGGCTGTCCCATATCTTTCCACTTCCCTTTTTGGTCCGTCTCATATATTTCTTCCGCTTTCCTTATTTGGCAAAAAAATAATACCCAATTGACTCTTTTGCCCTTATCCCACTACCCACTTTCTTTCCTTCACCCATTAAATAAAAGGCCAAATTGAAAAGTAAACTACTTTTAGTCTTTTACATCTTTCATTAAAACTCGTGCCAAGTCAAATGCGGAAGAAAGATATGGGACGGAGGGGGTGCAATATTACTAGAAAAGATATACTCCGTAGCATCATCCTTTGAACCCTTCGATACCTCCCCTTAGAACATCATGACGCCCATTTAAATTTACTAAAGCGTTAAAGATGAAATCACCTAGTGGTCGAAGCAGCTCTGGAGCTATAATACTGAAGCTTCACTTTCCTGCAACCTTCCGTCACGACAACAGCCCACATTGTAACAACTGTGAAAACTCCCACTACTGCAAGTATAAAAGGCCAACAGCTACTAACATTTCCTGCAGTGTAGTTGGAGTGTGAGTTAAAGCTCCATGTTCCACAAAATTAATATGTACAAAAGACTCCAAATCATGCTCTCAACTTTCTCATTCCAGTAGCACTACAAATGGCATTTAGTGACTACTCTTAGTGATGCTTTTATATCACTCCAGAGTCCGGATTTGGGTTATAGCTCTCAGGTTTATATAGAACTCACTTATTCTTCATCACTTTCTGATTTCATTCCAAGCCAATAATTATCCATGACTTTATATTTCAATGATTATGTCCCACGGATTCAGGGCAGTTTGAGGAATATTCAGATTTCAGAGGCCACCAGAAAACAACCGTGTGCAGAGTGCCTTTACATAAATTTTGAAGGAATTTAAAGCCGCTCTAACGGAAGTATTTTTGAGGTTTTGAAATAAAAATGATAAAAGTTTCAGCGCATAGAAAAGAAAAATAATAAACTTCAGCACCCAATCATTATAGGCACAACTCTATGAAACAAAAATCTGACAAAAGTGAGGCAGGCTACGTAGGAACCTAAGGGACTAAAGAGTCCAGATTTACCTCCTCTAAGGTTCTTTGGTTGGGATCTTAGAGGCTTAGGATTAGTCCGACACAAGTTGGGAAACCTAATGTATCAAAAAACTGACAATAAGTGTAAACGTCAAAACATAGTAGTTTATCTCATTGTGCAACAAGCCAACAACAATGCAGCTAGCAACAAAAATGGCAGAGTAGATCGAAATAATTACAGAGTATGAATCATCTTTGCATCACTTCGTATCACTCCAAATTGTATGAATTAAGAGTCATGTGGTTCCACTGATCTTATTTCTCTGGTACTCCAGTACTTTCTGGTTCCAAATACTTTTCTTCTTTGTCATACCACCTCATCCTTAAATCTATCTCTCTTCTCTCTTATCTCTCCTTTTCCTCACCCCTCTCCTGTCCCTTCGTCCCACCTTCCCTCTCTTACCTATGCCGCCTCTAATGCATTCTATTTCCTTCTATGCTTTGCAAAAAAACAATAGCCCTCTAAAGTAAACAATGATCTTACTTGATAGGTTAGATATTGTGGCTTATGAAAAAGTGCTTTCCCTTTGTAAAGACAGGTTCAACAGTTCAAGTGAAAAACAAGAAGAGAGTCGCTATATCAAAGGTGTAGTTATAAAATAGATAAAGGGAAAAAAAATCAGCCACCTGAGAGTTGGTTTATCATCTTGTACAGTGTATCTGTGTAGCCAGTGAGAATCCCCACACATATAATCAAAGATGATCCTTGACCTGGTGAATCACTACTAGTTAGAAAGCTAGTAAATATAGTACAACTAACTTTGAATCACATTTATTTATATCACCAAGGTTCAAGTGACATTGAACCTTGATGTCATGGGATGACCCGGGGGCGCTCCGGTGCCCTGTTCGTAAAATTGATGGTTCCTACCCCCCCTAATCCCCCCGGTAAACCCCCCCACCCGGCCCCTACCCGAACACACCCCCCCCCCACCCCCTTCAATTGCACCCCACAAGTTGATTTTGACTTTGGAGTCAAAATATGACTCCAAAGTCAAAATCAACTTGTGGGGTGCAATTGAAGGGGGTGGGGGGTGTGTTCGGGTCGGGGCCGGGTGGGGGGTTTACCGGGGGGTTAGGGGGGTAGGAACCGTCAATTTTACGAACGGGGCATCCCATGACATCAAGGTTCAATGTCACTTGAACCTTCCCCTATTTATATAGTGGAGTCCTATTCATTGATATTCTGAATCTGACATGCTGAATTTCTGCCACTCTTCTTGATATAATACTTCTCATGGTAGACTTTATTATTCTCTATGAATGTTTACAGACATGAATACGGGTTAGAACTTTACCAAAGCCATGATCTGTTATTTTGTCAGAAATCCATGTCATAGTTAGTGCACCACACACCAAGAATAAAGTAGTAACCATCACATGCTTTGCCCTGCATTATTATCATGTTAATAAAATGGAAGGCAAATAGATACTCCCTTAGAGATCAATGAGATAAAATTACAGGTACAATGTCAGACATAAACGAGATGTGCAAATAAAGATATGTAACGTGTGTTCATGAGTGTGATGCTGTAATGGTCATAGGGACTGTGTTGTGTAAGTAGAAGCACAGTGACCATACAATCAACATTGCATTTAGGCTTGAATATCACTTCAACATCTACAAAGATAGTAATATTAAACCTGATGGTGCAGAGTCAGAGACCTATAATTAATTTTTATCTCAACCATTAGATAAGATTTCATTAAACTTCTTCAATAAACGTACCTCTGACCAGCTGCATGTATGGAATACGGAAGAGAATAAAAGGAAAGAACCAAAGCCTCAAAAATGGAAAAACCAAGTGAGATCCACCATCTGAAGCATAATCAAAATTGGGTAAGCATGTTATCCATTCATATTATTTCAAATAAATTAGCCTCATAGTGAAATAAAAAAATGGTCTCACTGCTGGAGTGGATAACTAGACACACATATAGCTCTTGATCTTCTCATGACCACCTAAGCCTTCTTTTCGCAGTTTGACCAAGGAAGGAAGAATATGACAAAGTATCTAAGGAAAAAAGAACAAATTGATATCCTCAGATTGATACTAAAGTAGGGCATTTAGAATTTACAGAACGTGTCCAGAAAGGCCATACTGCTATACACTCATTTTGCATTGAAACAAGTATCCTGCTTCTTAAGCAATGAAATAATCTAATAAGAATAGATTCTTAAGCTTATCAGTAAGCATGTGGAACAATTCCAATGTTCCCATTAAAGACTATCTAGAAATACCCAAATAGTAAGTGTATCACATGAAAAGTTTGCTTAGAGAAGAAACTAGATATGGAGTAGAAATTAAAGCATTGAAAATGAATAGAAATGAACTTTCAGGACACGTGCAGAAAATCTGTTTTTGACTCCAAACCTGCATGAGAATAGATGCTCCAATCTGAGGGCTTATTCCAAGTTGGAAAATAGATAGCTTAACTTCTTGTGAGTGATCACCAAATTCATCTACAAAAGGACTCTAAAGTTAACTATTACTAGATCAAAATGGATAGTATTAACTTTCACGGAAAGAGACAATATATGACCAATTGGCAATATTCCCAATAAGCCTAGTTCAGCTAAACTCATCGTTTCTAGTTGCAAATGCTTCCAGTAGTAATGACTTACCCACTGGTCCCGAGGCAAAACCAAGATAATTCTGGGGAATCAATCTCCTGTCGAACCCAGGAATCGGAATGAAGTACCCCACACGACTAATTAAGATCAAGACAGCAGTCACAAAAAGCCTTCTACGTATCTCGCTCTTGAAAAACGACTCAACGGCATTATCAACCACTGAACCCATCTTCACAAAGTTCAACAACCGGTTATTAAATGCCCTAGGTCTCTGCTGATGCAACAATTCATGCTCATTCAAATCACGCAAAGCATGAAACATTTCACATCCATCCGGCATTGGCATAGAAAGTTCAGCACTCATATTTTCTTCAGGTGTTGCCTTAGGATTCACACAGTCATGTCCAACTTGGTCACATGAAAGAAAGGTTAGCCCCTTCTTCGGATTCGACAAAAAGGGAACATTTCTTGTCAGAAAAGGCCTTCTGCATTCTGAAGCTGCTTTAAGAGATACACGCGCAACCCCAGTAAATGACGAACCACAGAAACCGAGATTAAGCGAAGCTTGGTTCAGCCGCTTGCCTGTTTAACGAAGATTTTTTTAGAGCATAAGAGGGGGAAAAAACATGACGAAGAAAGCTAAACCGAAATTATGCGCCAATTAGCATATGGCTGTCTATATAGATGTCGCAAATATGTATGCAGTTGAAATTGAACATGCCTTGAGGTTTTGAGCTTGGGAAAGTGAAGATGCGGGGACGAAAGTTGAGTTCGAGACAAGCTTCCATGGCTAAACAAATTCTGCCCTTTGCCTCGAGCTCTGGTCTTTTTGTTTGGACTTTGGTAAAGGGGTAGCTTACGGTATTTGTACACTATTTATTTTAACCATTCATTTCTTTTTTATTTTTAAACATTTTTTCTTCTCTTACATTTGTATAGTGGAGATGGAAGGGGTACAAAATGAGGTACAAACTTACATAAAATTCCTTTTTGAATTTCTTTTAGGTAGTGTCTGGCAACTAGCATTTCATTTCAATTCATGTATTTCAATTCCAAAATTTGAAATTTTGTATTTCAAATGACAAGGGGTGCTGCATGGATTTCAAATTAAGTTTTGTTATGAATGAGAAGAATTTGACTCAAATCCAAATTTAAAATTTTTAAGTTTTCCAAACATGGAATTTGAGCCAAATCTGGATTTGAAATCTAAATCCATGTTTCCAAACATACCATTATTTTAAAAAAATATTTATTTATAATGGTATAAATTATACACTGAGTAAATTACTCTATAAAGGTCTAAGGTGACTTAACCTGAGGCACGCGAAATAAAATATTGAACGGGAGGACTGTAAGTGAAACATCTGTAGTTCGATTGTTATTGAATGTATGCAAGCGTACAGGGAAAAAGTATACAAGAGCTTTTCTAGTGAGAGAATTCGGATCCCTTCTTTTGGAGATTACACATGGTATTTATAACGTTAAAGGGGGGAGAAAAGGCATCGTTCGCCATTGTTCACCCATGTGAGGAAGTGACTCAGTTTGTCTTGTATTGTTTTGTCTTCTTCCTTATTAATGTCTTACTGTACTATGCTTTGTCTTGTAGCATTTGGACACGCTAGTCAGTGCGAAAGATCCGATCCTCTCAAAATGCTACTGTAATGCCTCAAAATACACCCTAAAATTTCTATTGAATTATTATTCAATTAAACAAATTTGTTATGATTAAAATAAATTATCGTTGGTCTTTGGCCCAAAATGAAATATGATTTGATATCCAATAACACAAACTGGATAAATCTCGTGGATATAAATCCAAACTACAACTATATGTGTGATCTTGATTGGGAATCATAGTACAAACCCAAATCAAGAATAAATAAAGAATTTGATTTATGATGTGAACTTTTGATATGATTTATTACAATAAATCACAACAATAGATAATATGAATTGAATATGAGAATCTCTCAAATAAGTGATTGATTAAACCAATTTTGACTTTATCAAAATCAAACACCCAAAATATAATGTCAGAAAAAACATTACAAATATAAAAATTATATTGTTTGATAGAGTTTGACTCTTTGAATGCAACAATACAATCAGATTTTAATTCGGAGAAAATTAGACCAAAAAGTGTACCCCAACTGGGACCAAAATAGTCCCAATTAGGGGAGATGTGTACAAATGGTGTTTCCTCCTCCACTATCAATCGTGAATTAACTCATACGCAGCAAAGCATGTGTCTTCTTCCCCTCACCATTCCTATATAAGGCTACTCTCTTCTTCTCATTTCTTCACCAATTCTTGTAATTCTTCCTCCTATTATGTTCCTCTATGGAGAGTACAATGGTGCTACCCGGAGAGCTTGAGGTTGTCATAGCTGATAGTAATCGTCGTCAGAAGTTTCGCTGGAATTTTCTCAAAACCTCCATTTTAGCCCAGTGTAAGCCCTTAGATATATCTGGTGACTAGAATGTTCGTATAGATCGTTTTTACATTTATAAATGATCGTTTTTTGGACGATCCCCGATAGTCTACGTGGGTGATCCATTTCATGATATATATATATATATATATATATATATATATATATATATATATATATATATATATATATATGTACTACCTCCGTCGTGGAGTGTCAATCCAGTTTTGACTTTTGGAACTGTTCATCTAAGCATTTTGACTCATCAAATTCTCTCAATGTGTAAGCTTATGTGTAAGCTTGCCTAAATATAGTTATGTGTGATCTTGTTTGATTTGTCTTAACATATAGATTATTAATATATAATTTCTATATATATATATATATATATATATATATATATATATATAGATTTTGGTTCAAGTGAGAATGCGATCTTATGAAAGAAATAAGAATGAATCTGGTTCTTTAGATTGTGAGATCTAAGGGTCAAGATTGCATCAAAATTAGGTGCACCAAAATGATTTAAAAATGCATCATGTTGAAATGCATCAAAATCCTTTAAAAATGCACTATCTCAAAATCTGAGTGCAGGATGCAATCTGAGCCGCACGATGCATCAGATCCAAAGGCTAGATTTTATTCTTATTTCTTTCACCAAGGTGCATTCTCACCTGAACCGCCCCATATATATATATATATATATATATATATATATATATATATATATATATATATATATATATATATATATATATATATATATATATATGTATGTATAAATACTTCTACATGCAATGAGAAACAACTAAAAAATTACAAGAACTAATTTCAAACCATTAATCAAATAGTAAATGAAATAAATATACTGTACATAAATAAAAAAAGAATGTTTAAAAGTAAAAGCGCTACTTAAGGTAGTTTGGTAAGCAGAATATATTAAAACATATGCGAGTATAATCGTTTGGTCTAAGGCAAAAATTCTCAAACTTCATTTCGTTTGAATTGGTGGCTTGTTCCTTGTCATGAGTTCACAACATTACAAATCATGAAAAACAAAAATTGAGATTAACGTATGGCTGCATGACTGAAGCCACTCACTACTACCACTAACATTGTTAGCACCTTTTTGTTGTGAGCACTATACAGTTGGGTGGTCAACGTCCTTCAATTTCTTTTTCTTCTTTTTGCCATATGATGCTGCTTGATCATCAAGTCCTGAGACATCCTCCATCTTCTTCTTCTTCTTGGCAAGCTTGATCATGAAGGACTAAGACAGCTGGTGCTGCTTGATCATCAAGGCTGGACATATCCTCCATCTTTTTTTCTTCTTGCCTGCTAGATTATCAAGGGCTAAAACAGCCGGTGCTGCTTGATCATCAATGGCTGATACAACCTCCATCTTCTTCTTCTCCTTGCCATCTATATTTTCCTTCTGTGTTTGCCACCAACAAATAAAAATTTAATAGATATTGTTTTAATCTTGTAGATTTGAAGGCTTGAAGTGTAGAGGGTTGTGTGAACTCAACGGAGTTTCCCTGTCGGATCGGTATTCCAGCAAAGGCAGTGATCCATATTTTAGAGCCTTTTTTCAAGAAAGGACACGCCTTAATGGAATCAGTCCAATCATAAAATGCAAGAGAAGCATCACTATAGCTTCGGAGTGGTTGCTGCACGAGATTATATTTTGTTTAGAAGTAAGGAACTTACCCGCCATCCCGTAACTCGGGAAAAATGTGGTGCCTATGATACTATCGAGTGAGTATCAAGGGTTTAGGGGGGGTGGTTTTCCCGAGGAGCCGAAGGATAGTGTTTGTGTGAATACTTCAGAGATGCCTTCAAGGGGATTAAAGTTATAGAGAATATTAAAAAGAAAAGGAAGATGGAGAATGTCTTAGCCATTGATGATTAAGCAACACCGGATGGTAAGAAGAAGAAAAAAGGAGGATGGAGGATGTCATCAAGGGCTAAGACATTCTCAATCTTCCCCTTCTCTCTCTTGTCAGCCGGTGTTGCCTGATCATCAAGGTCAATGACATCCTCCTCCTTTTTTTTACTTCTTTTTGCCATCCAATGCTGCTTGATCATCAAGGACCAAGACATCTTCCATCTTCCTTTTCCTCCATAACTTTAATCCCCTTGAAAGCATCTCCGAAGTATACACAGACACTATCCTCCATCCTCCGGCTCTTCGGGAAAACCATCCCCTTAAATCTTTGAAACTCATTCGATAGTATCACAGGCACCACATCTTTCCTGAACTCCAAGTTGGCTGGTAACTTCCTTACCTCTAAACAAAGTATAATCTCGTGCATCAACCACTCTGAAGCTATAGTGCTGCTTCTCTTGCATTTTATGATTCCATTAAGGCCAGTCCTTTGGAAAAATGCTCTAAAATATGGATCACTGCCTTTGCTGGAACACAGATCTGACAGCAAAACTCCGTTGAGTTCACACAACCATCTACACTTCGAGCCTTCACATCTACAAGATCAAAACAGTATCTATTAAATTTTTATTTGTTGGAGGCAAACACAAAAGGAAAAGAAGGAAAGAATCATACTAACCAAGTTCTCTTAAAATTCTGTCGCATTGAAACATTTCATACAACTGTGTACCCAATTGAACATATCTCTTGAGAGCCTAAGGAAAGTTCTTTCCATGCACTACAATCTCATGCCTGATAAAATTGAACCGATGATTCTTTATTTTCTTCTTCTGTGTTTTCGTCATTTGAACGTTCACCTTACTTTTTATCAAAGGTCTCCAAACATTTTCAACTTCTCTTTTAAGCTCTTTGATCTAATATTTTTGAAAAAAGTATTATGACTCAATCTATATATAACTAAACTCGTATTAGGACATTATAAAATGATACATTCTCTCTTTCTAAAGTGGTCAAGGCGGATTGTTTGTAATTGCGATAAGGACGACTATGAAAACTTCTACTTTCAAATATACCGTGCACTTTAAGTTCCATCATTTCCTCATAATCAAGTAACCACAAATCGGGTTCTACACCGTCATAGATTGCCAATGGTATAATAAGTACAAATTCTAAGCAAATGCTGCAAAAGATAGGTAAATTAGATATATAATCTTGTAGAATACGTACAAAAATAGGTCTTAACAAAAAAATCATATAGCTGGAAGGAGCCATCATTATGAACTGTATTCAAACTGCTGCAACCCTACCAAAATTAATCAAGAATTTAAAAGTTTGGATTTTTCTGTTTTAAAAAAAAACTCGTCATAAGACACCCCTAGACGTCGTGAGAAGCACCTCGTCGTCGTGAGACATTAACTTACAAAGCACATTAACTAACAAAAACACATTACAGTAAGTGCAAAGTCACCTCAAGTAAAAACTGAAGCATAATCTGCAGACAGTTACACCATGGTTGAATTGCCAGAAAAAAATATAGGTTGTAAACTAAATGAACACAATATACAAAAGACAGCAAGCTGTAAATTGAAATTGAAACTATAACTCAAACACAATAAATAAAATAAAATTGAATTACTTTAAGGTAAACAGATACCCAACAAACACATCCAAAAATTTAAAAAAACACATAAGCTTAATGAAATTTTTAGACATAACTAAAAACACATAAATGAAAAATCCATAGATGCATAAGTAGAATCACACTCTACTAAAGAGATGGGACAAATGAGAAAGGATAAGCTAAGTGAGAAAGGAGAGACATGGAAGCTCTAAAACAGGAACCGTCGAACTGCAGTGTGCGATGCTACCATTAAGGCACTAATGGAGGTTTGGATCGAGCCGGAGCAATTAGAAGTGAAAAAACTAAAAATCTATTTTAGGACCTAATTAACCTAATTTATTTGGGCGGTTGGGCCACTCACAACATTAAGGAAGTCAGTACACTAAGGCCTCCAAGTTAATTTGGCTAAAGTAGGACTAAATTTTGTATAATTTAATTTCTATTAAACTATATTTAACACTATTTAAACGGTTGGGTATTTTTCGGTTTTACAAATTCAATACATATCATGTATCCTCTCTAAACGGTTCAATCCCGGTCCGGAACAAAAATATAATAAAGCTATTTAAAGCATTCTATTTCGGTTCAGTACCATTTTGGTCTGTTTGGGTACCATTACATATCCGTATTTTTGCCCACCCCTAGTCTTCATTAGACGCACCTCGTTGTCTTGATACGCCTCTTGTCGTCTTGAGATAACCCTCGTCGTCTCAAGTTATAAAATGCTCTAAAAATTTGGGAATGCATAATATATCAAAAGTTTTCAAAATATATAACAAGTAGGACCTACTTTGACTATCCTAGTTCAATTCCAAATGTGAGAAGTGAGACCATGAGAACAAAATAAAATAAAAAACTGAGTTTATTAATGTCAATCCTTGTGACGCAAAGTTCTTTTTAAGATTGAAGCTACCTTCTAGGAAAGTACCACCACAACGTATTTGCAAATTAGTTGTGCATATGATTTTATTTAGCTTTATCTCGGTACTAAATACCCATGGTATACCAAAATCCAACACATTATCAAGAAAAATTTAGAAAAAACCATTATTTTGTGTCTTTAAGATGCATCAAACATTAGATTTTTTTCAGTACCTTTTAAATGACTTAACATAAAATGCCCATTTTTATGGGATTTACAAACAGCCCTATTCAAGAGAAAATTTTCCAAAGGCCCTGGTTTTAAAAGAGACCTAACAACTTGAATTGCATCAATAACATCATCAGAAATAGGTTGGTTTGAAATAGTTTACCGGCTCAGGTTACCTGAATGATTGCCTCTAAACAGCTTGCCCTTAAAAATTATCAACATTTTTTCCTTAGGATCTTTAAGTTCCAAATGGTCCCCTGTGTAAAGAATTTTTAAAAGAATCCTCTAGAAATTAGTTCTACAAAAACAACTTCATTAAGCCGTTAAGGACTTCCTCAAGAGCCTCCATTAGATCTACGTTTTTGTGAAGCAATGGAAATTAAAGCTAAATGTACTTTAAGATGCATGTTTTCAAAATAAATTCCTAAAAGCTTTAGAAAACAATGGTTACAGACTTACCGTGCATATAACTGTAAAACACACACTCACCCACGAAATGTAGATTAGAATACATAGCCTTACTTTTAACAATTCACATATGCAATATATAAGGGAATACATAGGCGTACTCTTAGCATTGACATGATTAATATATAAGAGGATACATAGCCTTACTTTTAACATTCATGTATGCAACATATACAAGGATACATAGCCTTACTTTTAACATTCACATATGCAATATATAAGGGGATACATAGGCATACTCTTAGCATTGACATGATTAATATATAGGAGGATACATAGCCTTACTTTTAACATTCATGTATGCAACATATACAAGGATACATAGCCTTACTTTTAACATTCACATATGCAATATATAAGGGTATACATAGACGCACTCTTAGCATTGACATATGTAATATATAACAGGATACATAGCCTTACTTTTAACATTCACATATGCAATAGATACAAGGATACATAGCGTTACTTTTAACATTCACATATGCAATATATACAAGGATAGATAGCCTTTTCACATTCACATGATGCAATGAATTTTGCATATTCCATCGTTATGGTCTGGTCTAACATGGATGACCTATCCTGAATTTCACATTCTTCTTATTGCAAAAAGGTAAAGAGCAACCCCTAGCAACCCAGTCCCATATGTTCGCCCAACCCAACCCAGAACCACAGGTCTGCAACCTAGCCAACACGACCAAACAACCCAGCCCCTACCAGACCCAATCTCCTGCAATCCCTGGCAACCAGCCCCGTCCAGACCAACCCTACGAGACCTAACCCACTAAAAGACGCAGCCAGATATGCAATCTCGGACCAGAGACACTACAGTCCCTTTCCCGGACGTGCTCCGACGGCGTCTCCGGCGTCCTTTCAACCTCAGTGGTTTCCCCCACACACCCTATCACCAACAACCATTTCGATTGCAGGAAAATTATAAAAGTAATTTAAAACTGGAATGAGCCACAAACCTCTAATAGGTGAAACCGAATTTGACCTCCGAGCTCTCCTGTTGGCTGTTGCGGTTCCACGATCATTGAGTTTCTTCCCCAGATTATTTCCCTGCTCGTCTCACCCCCAACTCCCTCCCCTTAAATAGTTAAATTGGGTACACCTATCCCAATTGTACACCACATGTTTTTCCACCACACATCTTTATTTGATTTTTATTTATTTATTTATTTTTCGAATTTCTTGTCAATTATTGTGGACAGACTAGAGAATATTTGGAGTCACTGTTTTAGACGGTAGAATTGAAGGTTCATACACCCCTAACCTACTCCTTAAATCCTCCACTCTAACCCTGCACTTGCACCCCACCCCAACAAAGAATAGATCTAATAATTAAAATAGAACTAATACAAAATTAATACTTTACTTTATTCGATCTAGTTTAGAAACAAAAGAATGTAACATTCATAATTTAATAATTTTCATTTTATACGAGTAATAAATATTGTGTATATAAATTGAAGTGTAATTGCTAATAAAATTTTAAAATTTATCATTTTTTATTTTACGCTACGTATTGCTAACAAAAATTTATTTTGTGGAAGTAGAAAAAGTTTTGTGTATAAATTATGACATTACTTTTTTAATTACGGAGTATTACTTTATATACATTAATTATGATAACGACAACAACAATAACAACAACAACACCATCAACAACAACAAGTATTATTATTATTATTATTATTATTATTAGTATTATTATTATTAGTATTATTATTATTATTATTATTATTATTATTATTATTATTATTATTATTATTATTATTGTTATTATTATTATTATTATTATTATTATAGTAATAATAGTAATAAAATTGCAATTATAATAAGAATAATATGACAAATACACATAAATAGTTTTTAAAGTAATTGTTGGATAAACTATAAGTAGGAAGAAACCGAGAGGATTGAAAAAAACTAGAAGAAAATAGAAGAAAGCGAAAATAATTGAAGAAACTAGAAAAAGTTAGAAAAGACTAGAAGAAGTTGAAAAATAGTGGAAGCGGTAGGAAAAAACTGAAAGTTAAATTTTACAACTCTAAATAACAGGTTGTTCGCATATTTTATTAAACTCATTCTTATTATTTATTGTTGTGTATTACTTCCTCCGTCCCGTGAAACATGGGACTTTTGCTTTTTAGGAATGATTTAAGGGTAGTGTATTTTGGTATTGAATTTCCAAAAATGTCCTTTGATGTGATGGATAAAAGTATGATTTGATGAATAGATTATTAGTAAAAAAGTATGATGTGATAGGTAGGGTATGAAAAAGTAAGGGTAAAAGTGACTTTTTAATAGAAATGAGAAGTGTTTTGTGGGACGGATGAAAAAAGAAAGGAGAAATGTTTTATGGGATGGAGGGAGTAGAATTAGATAATATCAGATCACATCAGAACTCAATAAAACTCAATTCAACACCACAAAACTCTAAAAAACCGTCACTCGAATTTAAAATCATCGGCTCGATTCCGTTTCCAATGGCCACGGTGCCTCTCCAATGTCACTGGTTTTTTTGGAGAAACTTTCGTTATGCCATTTGCAAAATGGATAACTTCTACACTCCTAGTAAACCTCCACCTCAGACTGACTAAAACTGACCATACTCCCATCAATTAAACTTCTTCAAGTATAGTTGATTTTTGAAATTAAAAATTTAAATCCAAAACTAGATATCCAATTAATGAAGATAGGAATGTGGGTTCACATCCAACCAAGATTAAGATTGTATCATTAATTTTGTGAACGAAAAATCGAGTGTCCAGTGACACAAGTGTGGGCACCTTGCCCAGTCACAACTCACAAGAGAAGGGGTCAAGGGGGGCCGTAAAATCATTGGCTTTAAGAAATATGGAACCACTAAGGCACTAAGCACAAACAAGTTGTGTCAACTGTCAAGCAGACCCGCGAATCATTTATTTGAATACGGGTATAATAAGTCTATTCTTACATTGGTGTATAATACAGATTACTTTTTTAAAATACGTCTTTATATGCGTATTATGCGTATTATATGATGATATTGAAACTCAGTAGAAACGTCATTGAAAGACCTTGACAAATACTATTAGCTGCAAATTATATTGTCTGAAGCACGGTTCCATTTCTTCATAGCTGCTTGGGAGCAGGGGTTTTCCGGCCTCGGTTCGAATGAACTTCGCCGCAACTCGAGCTGAGTTTTGAATCATGACGGAGGCAGGTATGGCTCTGCTTCTACAGTTTCGCTTAGACAATCATTTATGGTTGGGTGTTTTTTTTAAGGTTATTTTGTTTTTAATAAGGGACGTTTTATTCTGGCCCCTCCATAGAAATTTAGCAGATGATGTGCTTCGAGTGTTTTTTTTAAAGATCTGGCGTAGACCCTAATAACTGGTGAATTATTGAATTGGTCCCGTGTTTAGATTTGATGCAAACACTTATGGGTATCAAATGATCATGTATTTTTGTTAACATTCTCTCAAGATAATATCTATAGAGCCATATAAGATTCTCACACCATGTATTTGATGTTTGGTGGTAGACAAAAGGGCCTATCAGGTAATTAAAGACTAACTATTACAGTGAAAAGTTCATTCAATTTTTTTCTTGGAATAAGTAGAAATCCTACTGCAACAAAAAAAAGTACATGGGGAGGACTAGGCTGCCGCTGCGCCCCTAAGAGAGAAATATTTAAGGATGTCTAATTGCATCGAATTTCAAGTTTCCTCTTAAGGACATGGAAACATGTTCACTAAGCGGAGAAAGAGAGGTATCGATTGTTAGTAGTCCCATGTGAGCCAGATGTTGGGCAGCACGATCGGTAGTTCTCGGGGTAAACTATGATTTCCAGGTATAGATATGGAAAAGGAGAAGGATCTCTTGGACCGGCATCTTTAACCGCTGGTGCACCTTTCCTCTGTTTGAAAAGCTTTGATGGAGTCTTGCATTGTCTGTCTCAATGATAAGTTTGGAGAGTCCATTAGCAGCACAGATTCTCATGACTTGTAGGGAGAAATGGAGGATCACACTCCATTGACACGAGGAGGCATAGTGTCTATGCACCGGATTGATATTCTTTGCATTATGGTTCCAGAGGATCGCTGTGTGCCTTTGCAACCCACTCCCTGGTGTTTTGGATGATGGAAGGAAGGGATGCTAACATCAAATCTAGTATTATCCTATCTCTGTTGGGGTCTAGGGGTCAAGGTGTAGACAAACTTACCCTTAACCCACAAACTATTTGGTTAGACCCTTGGTTAATTGCTAAATTTACAACACAAAACCTCATAGAAAGTAAGATCCAAGAGAAGTTTAATGTTTCATTTTAATTTAGTTTATCGTTTTCTAAAAAAAGCTAAGCTGGAATTTACAAGGACTAAGAATGTAGCTCTTGAACATCGGGATAAGGACTTGAAAGAGCGCGGAGGCGAGAGGAGATTGTATAGGCTAGCTAAGGCACGTGAGGAGATTGTATAGCATCTTGAACATCTGGCCTATTTTCATGGGCTTAAAAATGTTGGAGGAGATGGGAGCTCGGTACAAGGTGAGTTGGAACAGTTTGAAAGGCATCAGAATTTTGGTTACACTCTGCGCATTAGCCAAGAGGCGGTGGCGAGGGCCATTCGCAGGATGATAGGGATGAGAGCCATGTGGCCGGATGAGATTCCAGTGGAGTTCCAAAATATTGTGGGCAGACGAGGGTTGGTGTGGGTTATAAAGTTATTCCTATGTCCCTAAAAATGTCTTGTTGCTGTCCCAAAAAACATGTCTCATTAGTCATTCCATGTAAGAAAAAAGTGATAAAGGTAAGGTCTGCGTACATCTTGCCCTCCCTCTGCAAGGATCCTGTCCTACTTCCAAGTGAAATATATTTGGGTTTGTTTGGAACTTTGGCTCGGCTGCTAGATAAACTCATCACCATAATGATCTTCATATCTCTGGCAGCCATCTATATGGGCGTCTACAACAGCTAGACATGCATTTTGAAAGGTGACTTGAGGAAGAGGTGTATATGGACATTCCTCCAATGTTTAAAAGAAACTTAGCTACCAACAAGGTGTAAGCTCAAGAAGTCTACTTTATGGACCCAAGCAGTCTCCTCATGCAATATGTGTTTTTTCAAAAGCAATATGTGAATTTATTTAATAAAAGACATTTCAATTTTATTCACTGATTCGGTTTGGCCATCATTGGTATATATCTCACGAAATGTAAGCATTTAGTCAACTTTTTGCACTAAAACAGAGTCTTTCATTGTGTACGGATATTTTCTTTAAGATAATGTACTTTTAAAATTGTGTTTTCCCATCATAGTTTTCTGAAACAGCTACTTTTCTTAAAAGGGTGGATATGGTTTTGCAATAAACTTCATTTCAAATTGCAGGATTTAATTTTAATAAATTGATACAAGAAGCTCAAGGTCGATGGTTGAAACCTGCTGAAGTTCTCTTCATATTGCAGAATTACAAGAATGACCAGATTGCCCAAGAGCCCCCTCAAAAACCTGGAAGTACATCCATGACTTTTTCTTTTCAATTTGTGCAAATTTAATCCAATATCCTGTAGTCCATACCTTGCATTGTTGATGTTCGTTTCAGTTCACTTTACTTCCATCTCATCAACTAATTTCTATTTAATAGGTGGATCTTTATTTCTTTTCAACAAGAGAATCTTACGGTTTTTCCGTAAAGATGGTCATAGTTGGAGAAGAAAGAGAGACGGCAGAACTGTGGGGGAAGCACATGAAAGGCTCAAGGTGACACATTATTGGGGCTCCACTTTTCTTATATACTCAAATACTCCCTCCCTCCCAAAATGGATGCCCCTGATACTATTACGGCACCTTGATAACTTTTGTTTGTTTGCATATTTTCATTGATCATTTGATAAAATAAAATATTCTTGTCAGTTGTCACATCTTGTTTTGTAGAACGATGTAAATCTCATCCTTGGCGTACTTTTTATTTCTCATCCGGCCAAGAATATTTCTATACCAATTTATAATTAAAATGATTTTAAAAGTGATGGAATTTTGCACGTTGTTCGAGAGTGGTATCCATTGTGGGATGGAGGGAGTAGTATTTACTTTATAATTATGTATAACTAGTATTGGTGCCA